GGATTTAAAATCATTTCAGAATTGTGAACGTGTGGAGTGAAATGTTTTCTTTTTTTAAGAAAAGCAACGTTTATGTTTGAATACATGTTCATTTAGTTTGCCGAATGTTTAGACAAAGGACCATATACAAATAAAAGGAAGTATTTGCAAGAGTTTGGTGTACTCTATTACAAACAAAGGAATGTAGACCTTATTATATTTCTTGCAAGTTTTTTATTGAGCAATTGTGTAGGTTAGGCTAATCTCTCACGATAGTCACGCTGTGATTTTACAGTGTTTTAATTCAGCAACAGATAATCAAGATTTAGCCATGTCATAATTCCCCAGTTATAACTGCATGAGAGGGATAAGAATTATTATATAAAAATCATTATCAACATTATGTTTGTAAGAAAGATGTGTCGTAGGTGTGTAACAAAGTGCAATTTAATCTATATTGTTTTTGTTGGTTATTTCATATTTTGCTATTTCTTTACGGAAGATAGATAATTACAGTTATGCTACATTGTTTAAGGTGACTGTATTAATTTATTTTTTAATGTGACTAATGTATTTTATAAGTACTGCTTTCTGCTTTTATGAAGTAAATGGAGATCATGCTTATATTTAAGATAAAAGCTTTTAATAGCAATACTGAAGGCTTATTGTATTATTGGTATATATTTTCAAAATCATTGAAACGAAAAGAATGCTTACTTGTCATAATACGTTTCATGATAAAAACATATTCAACTGTGCAAAGTGGGTTTCCAAATTGAATCTATGAAACAAAATGTAAAAGAATTGACACTAAATTAAGACCTCTTAGTAAAAAATAATTACTTAATATTTTTATATATGGCCCTTTAGAAAATCAATTTTGAGATATACATGTATATTACATCTACATGTTTAGAGAACTGAAGGTCTAAAATTAGCATTGGAATTTTGCTAGCCTTTTTATGTTGTTTTATAACTATATTGTGTGTTCTTCTACATTTTTTTTGTTTGTTTTTTTTCTAGTAAGTAAAAGAAGTATTGTGTAACAAAATGAGTGCTCTCTTTTTGTGATATTTTGTTGCGAAAAATCAAAACAAGAGGAGATCGGTACATAAGTTACATCTTTATATTTTCTTTTGTCAAAAGAAAACGCAAATTTTGCAGGAAACAATCTATATCTCACATAAGAACTTCGCTTCTTACGTATTCTTTTCACACTTCTATTATATATTTACGCTATATTTTTTGGTTTTTGAAAATGGTGTTTCATTCAACATAGATATTGTTTGGTACCTTATGGTGTAACTTACTCACGCTTTGTGATCACTTATACAACTATTGAAATAAAGTGTCTAAATAAATTTGTGTTGTTGCTCCTCGTATTTATAGTCCATGACGGACATGACTTTTTTTAAATATATTTGGAAATGTTTTAATAATAGATTAAGAGCATGTAAGATGTAAACCACTTGATGAACGTAATGCTAAACGCGCAATAATGTGACCTAAAGGTAGCAAAAATGTAAAGAAAGTGATATATGAGCCACATCATGACAAAACCAACATAGTGCGTTTTCGACCAGCATGGATCCAGACCAGCCTGCGCATCCGCGCAGTCTGATCAGGATCCATGCTGTTCGCTTACCAACTCTATTACAAGTAGAGAAACTGATAGCGAACAGCATGGATCCTGATCAGACTGCGCGGATGCCCAGGCTGGTCTGGATCCATGCTGGTCGCAAACACATTATGTTGGTTTTGTCGTGGTCGTGGTTTGATCATATTGACTTCAATACAAAATACTAAATCACTGAAACTTTACCTCTAAAGATCATCAAACTACTGTTCGTATCTCGTCAAACTTATGGATATTGCAATATGCTTATATGAAAAGAAAAAATAACGTTTTATGCGCTAAATTACGTTATCAACAGATGTGTCCATGGCATGCTAGATAAATACTGTAGCATTGTCATTAGAGTTTCTTCCTTATTATAAAATATACAACATTTAATCCGTAACCAAAGACAACCAAACATTTCGTGACATATACATCAATTATTGTATATCTCTACTTCCATATATTCAATTATATTCAGCAAATATTAAACATAACATTTCGACGTAACACAGTGACATTTACAAGTCGTAGAGACATAGTGAGCGATTTTCTGAATGTCGTGTACATATTTCATGATATAAATATTTAAACAAGTAATGTAGACATTTTAACCTTGTTTTTATATTCAAATTTATCTCTCTCTCTCTTTAAATGTCAATAAGTAAAGAGAAAATTCGCTTAGTCATTGTCAAAAGTTCATTCTGTTACACAAAACTCTTTCTAAAACCTAGAACACTTGTAGTTTGTCATGTACATATAAAACAAAAGCAACAAAATCAATTTCGGAAACTTTTTTTATCTTTTTTTATATATTGACCATTGTCGGTTGCGTTTACATCAAGACAATTTTCACATATTACGCGTACTTCGATATCTTGGAAATAATTATACAAAACAAAAGGAAAGCTCGTGATATTAAAATTAGAACATTGAAAAATTTAGAAATAAATTGTAAAGAATAACTTGTGATGTGGTAACTCTCAAATTCTAATTCGCTGTAATACTATTTCAAAGACAAGAGAGCTTTCAGCCCATTATAACATACGAGCCACGTCACGACGAAACCAACATAGTTCGTTTGCGACCAGCATGGATCCAGACCAGCCTGCGCATCCGCGCTGTCTGATCAGGATCCATGCTGTTCGCTTACCATTCCTATAACAAGTAGAGAAACTGATAGCGAACAGCATGGATCCTGATAAGACTGCGCGGATGCGCAGGCTGATCTGGATCTATGCTGGTCGCAAACACATTTTGTTGATTTTGTCATGACGCAGCTCATATAATTATATGTAATACAACATATTACAAATGCTAACGTAAATAACATTTCAAATCCTATAATTAATTTAATCAGTATTCAATTTGTAATAACTTTTCAAACCTTCAAGGACATGTTACTCATTATTCTATATAAATTATTAACATTCAATTTGTTTCGCATGCAATATATCCCATATTGGACGCTGTACGTCAAATACAATTATCATATATTAAACAGTTAAGTACGTTTGCCCTTTTCCAGGTAAAGTCAGAGATGAAAACGACAAAAGTAAGTCGCATTTCCTTATTGTAATTTAGAAATAGAGTAAACAGGTTATTACATTAAACAAATACAATACGGAAATATATCTGGACACGAAAACAGCTTTAGAAATCATATGAGACTCGACCGGCGGCTCCTCAATATGACCTCAATTGTTGTACAGTTAAATGTAAAATAACAAATTACTCTTGTTCTTACATAACAATATGTAATAAGATCATAAAATTATATACATTTACATACTTTTTTAAAATATTTATTGAATGCATCACGCACACATGCATCACTACTCAACACGAAGACACTCCTAAAATAACTCTAAGTATTTTATTTCTATTGTATTTTCAAACAGGTTAATGAATCATTATAACACAATTAATTATTAATATGCAGCGTAAGATGTTATTTAAAAAAAGGGAGTGATGTCTGCCGCATAACCCGGTTACCGTGGGTTCGATCCCTACTCAGATCACGACCAAGTTTCCACTACTTATAAAGGACCCGAAAGTAAAAAAAAATGTTTCACGATCGAACTTAAATACATATGTTTTAACAAAGCTGCGAAACATTGAGTATAACTAACATACCCTTCTTTTTTCACTATATTATTCAACATCCGCATATCTATCCCGAACGACCAGATAACATCAACGTCTGCATAGCCCATCAACATCCACATCTGTGAATCTTTGACAATTTGTTCGTGAATTCCCTGAATGACTGCAGACAAAAAAGTACAAGGGATGTTCATTAACATATGAAATAGTACTCTGGTACATGTATGTACATCTGCTACTGCACTATCAAGTATGATTAAGCAAGAATTAACTGAAAGGCGTGGATTAATCATGATTGCTTCCACATAAAAATAAGGGCTCGCGCAGCTATCATCAGAAAAACCAATCCAGCCCAAAGACAGCATTATCTTAATTTCTCAAAACTTTTTTTTATTTTTGTTTCAGTCTCCAAACGATACTTATTGCTTAACAATTTGCATTATCGCACTGAATACATTTATAGTGATTTAGAATTTTGAAGTGTAGTCAAATTACATGATTGTCCACGGTTTGATATTTCTATGATATTTTTTTCACATCTATTGTTACTTTCTAAAGTCATTATTAAAACAGTATAAAATACATGTTTTTCTTTTCTAAAGAAGAAAATAAATTCATTTCTGAAACAAAATTTCAAAATAAATTTATTATTTAACAAAGAATTTGCTTTATTTGCTACCTGGTAATAAGCTTTACCCCTTCAACAGATCGTATGTAATTCAGCCAGTTTGGGATTCACTATGTGATTTATCGGCTAGTTGAATACCAACAAAGAAGTTACATGGCAATGTGTTTCCTTCAAACAATTTGTTAATAAAACGTTACTGGTAAATATATAATTTGCCCCTGGAAGAAGTTGTTACAATGTCTATCCCATGTAGACCTATTGTTTCACTGTATGACCCGCCCATTTCCATTCTTTGACAAAATTGAAATTAGATCTTAAAACCACCATATCTATCTCGTGAAAAACAGATTTAAAAAATCAGATAGTGTTGAATACCCCTCGAATAAATGTGTAATTGTAAAAAAAAATGTTCGTTTTGTTTGACTGATTTTTGGCACCAGAACCAGTAAATCCAATAAGTTAAAAGCTAAAAGAAGTGCAAGATAAATCAGATCGAACGAGAAGAGGTATTGATGGTTTCTTGCTTTCGTTTTAATCTTTTGAAATTACTCGTGAAATTAATCTTTTAACAATTTAAGATCTTCCACCAACAAAGATTTAATTATCTGATTAATCTATATAAAAACAAACAGTTTTGTTAATAAGGCATAGGCATACGAACGACACATTTTACCTGTGCATATACAGTATTACGCTCGTATTTAAATGTTGGAATATTACATATTATAAGCACTTCGTTTTTAGAATTGTTCGTTTTTGGTTGTAGAGGGGTTTTTTTGGAGTGTCTTAAAAATGAGTTTGTTTGGCCGAGGTTTTTTTGAAGATAAAGGTGAGTATTGAAAAAAAATTAAACGTAATTGATATCTGTCCTTTATCAAACTAGATTCTTTTTATAGTGGGTTATTATAACTTTTTCCAGCCGCAATTTTAAAACCGTAGGCAATAATTGTTACAATTATTAAACAACTAAAATTTACGTTATATATAAGTTTAGCAGATAAGAATAAAAAGATTACAATTTATAACGCATCTTATCTTTATTGAGATTTTCAGATATCTTATTAAATGTAGTTTTGATCATAATATGGTTTCATCTAATGCCTCTCAAATTGATTAAAATTAATACGTGTATAATGAGAACAGAACAGAATTATTTATTTTTGAAGCCTATTCACTATGAATAGGTTATCACTTTGTTAACGATTGTCTATGATTTTATGTTGTTTTATCCAAAACATTTTCTTTTTCACGTGTTATTTACACAACGAATTGTACTTGCTATTACCAATTTATCCTTACATTTTAAAATTTATATTAACACTGTATGGAATTCGATATGCATTCTTTTATTAAATATATTATATAGGATGAAATACGGCCAGTAAGCTCTTTGCAGAAACGAATTAGTTGTTGCTGAGAACATCAATATCTTGTAATATATTTTTAACATTTCTGCTGGTACATCAACATATTATTAACATATCTTTCCTTTGTAAAAACAATTTTGTGTCTTCTTACATCTTATACAAGGTAACCGTTACTAACAGGCATGCTAATCCCAACTTTATCTTTAAGACCGTTTAAGCCGCCATAATTTGTGGTTAATATATAAGAGTTACACACATGTTAATATTCTTTCTTGTTTGGATTCTTCTTTGAATGGATTGGCTCTTAAATAATGGTAACGTATGTTTCTTTTTAAAGTGCTGTTGAAAAGATTTGAATAAAAAATGAAAATTTCCGAAAATAGAATGATATTTGAGAGGCTGCAAGCTTATTTTTACTTATAATTATATATATGCTGTATTATTAAGCATGCATCGATTCAATTATGTAATTTGGGTTTCACTTCTTATTGTTTTAGGTTTGTCACTATTTATTTATATGCATTTGGCGACATTTGATCATTCATTATACCAATGAGATTTTAACAGTCAAATATAATTTTTACCAATAATCAAAGTGCATATACACGCAGCAATGACTAATTGCACATGTTTCGTTTATTCTGGAACTTATTTTTCTGAAACACAATTTCAAAGTTGAAAATTCTAGGTGGCGACAGTAACGTATGTTACATTTTAGGGCATTAATGGTACTTGTAAAAGAAAAATAACAGATAGAAATGTAAAACTGAGAGTGTCCCTATTAGACAAAGTGGCAGCCACCTTTCTAACGACATTTTGACCTCAAGAAAAACCTTCGTATAAGAGCTACCCAGTGGAACATCAAATGCTGTGTTTTATTGAGAATGAGCGTATATGTGTAAAATGAAGAATGCATTTTGTTTGTCTATGTAAAAATTAATGTACTAAAATACAACAAAAGTTGGCTAACGGATACCAGAAAAAACTTTTTTCCAAGTACATTTTTATAATAGTAATCTGGAGTTTAAATCTAATACATCAGCTACTTTGAGAATGTTAGATAAATTCCGTTTAAAATATAGTACAGAAATATATTAATTGTAATGATTTATTTATGAAAATGAAGAGAAATACGGTACAAATACAATGCAGATATGTCTCTGTATTGTTCTAGTAATATATTACAATTAAATCGTTTTAATAAATCTAAGACTATATTGTTTTTTTCACCTTGTATATTATTTACAGCAAAAGATATGATAACGCTAATGGCTCGAGAGATACTGGAATTACGAGAGTTTCGGGAACAACTGTTGGTAGAACTACATCGTGATCCAATGAAATGCTCTGATGCAATGAAAGAACTGATAGACTATGTTAAACAACACGAGGATGAAGACAGACTTGTGAAAGGGTTCCAAAATTCCAAAGAAAACCCATTTTCTGATCAAGGGGCTACCTGTGTTATTATCTAATTGCTATCGAGTTATAATGTATCAGCGTTTATACAATTCATTAACTTGTAAATAATATATGATTGGAACGAAATAATTCACAAAACGTTCGATATATTACTTTTTAAGAGATGGTAGTGATACTGTTATGTAAAGGTATTATGATAATTGAGTGTAAAGGAAATTATATTTGAATATATTAATTTTGTTACTGAGTTCAAATAAATTATGAATTATAACAAAATTGTCTGCGTTATGGTTTTAGTTATCATTATCATTTAATAGCTTTCCGAACACATTCGGTTCATCTCCGTATTTCACGATTAAAATATATTTAATTATTTGTACGGTGTGTTTTTATATATATCATGTGATGGAATATTGTTGATAGTAATTATCTAAATTCACTTACTTGTATTAAAGTATCACCACAGCTATTCACTTTCATCCAAGCATTTTGTCCAAGTTTTCAATCAGTAATTGACATATATTATATTCAAATATAACATTTATGAGTTTTTCGAGGTTTTCAATAACAAAAAAGACAAATTTACTGTCGATATCTAATTTCGAAGATATTTCAATATTAATATACATTTAAAAAAAAAGAAAAAGTATAGGTTGAAAATTATATATAGTATAGTACATGTATACAGCTGTTGTTTTTTGTTACGTTCCTGAACGGAATACAAAACCACACACTAAAATCACAAAGGTTACTTATTAAAGTAGCTAATTCACAGGCCCTACATGTTTGATACTTACAAAATAAAAAAAAATAATATTGATCTTAATTAACAAATTGTCTAACCATGGTCTTTTGCATGAGTCATCCACACGCTCCCTGATCATAATGTACTTGTCCAATTTGTTTCTGTCGCTGCAATACTTTAAGATTAGTCAATTGATTAAATACATAGATAATACAAAGATTGATTCAATTTTTATTATACAAATCTTTCATATGGTTTCAAATGAAATGGTTAAGAATTATGGTCTGAGGGGTGTTCTTCTCAACGATATTTGATGCCTATGAAATAATGCTGACAAATGTAGTAAAATTTTAAATTAAAAAAACATCTATATGTACATATGTATATTATCAAACAAGATATTGTAAATGACTTTCTTTTTAAAACATCAGCTCTTTGATCTTCGAGAAAAATGTAACTTTATTTATTTTTAAGTAGTTTCCAAATTAACTTCAAGATTTATTGCTAATTTCGTTTCAGTAGTGCCATTTTTTACTTAGATCTTATAATAATTTTTCCAAAAAGTTTGTTTTATGTTACTTTGAGAAACTTTGAAAACGTTAATTACTTAAAAAAAATCTCTGTTGCCGAGATTTTCGCCTGGTCGTGTCAGAATATTTCCAAATTAACAGGAAAGTCAGTAAAAGTTATTGTTCATTATTGATTAAACTATATGTAATAGCATTGTTTCTCACTCCTAATAAATTCCGCTAATGTATAAATACATGAACAAAACAAATGTGATTAAAATGTTCCAAATGCACGGATGTCACGCAACAAACACTTATTTTTGATTCCACTTTGTTTATTTCTTTATCATAAAGGCCAAAGCCCTTTCTTGTAGAAGCCGCCTTTCATTTTCTGTATCCGGTATGTTTCTTTTTTCTTTATTGCAAAAGTAAAAAAACGTTTATAAACATAAAATCATATTAGATTGAAACAATTAAAAATTTTAATGGCATTGTGAGACTGTTCATATCAAACGTCGGACTTTTGTGTTACAAATCAGGGTAAGTGGATCTTTAAGTAATATTTCAGTTCGTGCTTTATAAACAAAGAAAGAAACAAACAAAAACAGTTTTGATATTGTATACGCAGTGTCTGACTCTTTTGGTAAAAATCACCATCAAATTCGGTTTAATTGCCATTTTGAAATTTTTTTTTTTTCATTTACTTTTTAAATTCTTTTTTTTTCCTAGACAAAAGTACTAGTTGAAAGAGATATGATAATGATAATGTTTTAAACAAGAACAAATATGGTTTGTCACGCAGATTTCCAATTTTATATTAGTAAAATATTTGAACTATGACAGATATACACATAGCTTGTCACAGATGTCCAAAGATAAGCTTTATATTACACAAGTTAAATTTGTCGATATCTTCAGGTATTTGTGTTAGAGATAGAAAATATGTGTTTCACATAAAATTATTGATCTGCATTACCGTGTAACGTCATCTCCTAGTATATCATTTTTTAATATCAATTTTTATTAATTAGTGTAAGGTTGATTATAGAGATATACTTATAAACTTATTCTGTTTCAAGACTCCATTTTATTCAGAATTTGAAAAGTATGTACCCTACTTGGTTGAAAATAAATATATTCATTTATCTTGACGTTTTTGTCAATCTTTCAAATATGACAACATTAAACATAAATACACATAAATGTTAGACAAAACAGGAATTCATAGGAAATGATATGCTGAAAGTATTTCTATTTGATATAACTTTGTCGTTTGACATAAAACAAATATCGCTAGCTATTGGACATACCATTCATAGCAATTAAGCTTTAAATGATATGTGCAGAAATACTAAAAAAGTCCATTTGTGATGGAACACATTGCAGGGCCTCTGTATTTGCTTTCTAGCTACTGTTTGTAACTGTATTTACACTACGGTAACAAAGGCACCTTTTGAGGAGTCAAGGTTAAAGACGTTGAAATCTTAAAAAATTCCCTATATCTTTTTTACATAGGCAAATTTAAACCACTGAACATGATTTCTTAAAATTTGCATGATTAAAGAGTATCCTAATTGAAACTTATTTTCTTCGGATAAGGGTTGGGGTTACAATCTTACTTTTTCAGTTATCTGTCCCTGAAAGTGAGTTTTTGCTTATTTTAGAACATATTAAGGAGCAAATAACTGAAAACTGTAGCAAGCACCGCCTAATTTGACTTCTAAATGCGTGTTTATTGCTTTATTCCCTGACATATTAGAAAGTTTGCTGAAATTCTATGAAACAGATTTTACCCCATAGTTGTTTATGCAAAATATTTATTTTCTTCAAGTTTTTTTTGAAGAAAATTGCTGTAGAGCATAGCAAAATCTATGTTGGATATAATTGTTTTAAACTTTGCATAATAATTGAAAACAATAAACAAAGAATAATTTGAAATAAAATGTTTAAATGGTAATGGACTATTGAAAATGAACTAAAAGAGAACAAATCTCTTTTTCATTGGCAGGTGACTCACAAAGTACTAGTAGGCACGTGATCCCCATTTTTCATATTCTATTTTGTTAAATGCTTTTTCAATCATGCAAAGTTTCAAAAAAATCTTTTCGCTTGTTTCTTCATTTATGTAGATCTAAAAATAAATAAAGAAACTATTGCTAAGGTGTTTGAATTCGGTAGTAATTTTCTATGGTCCGTGTAACCCTAAATTAAAGTAAAATATGAATTCCTCGGTAAAGTGTGTTTGTAATGTGATTTGATCGCATAAATCACTGTGATAACAATGATATGTGTTATCCGATAAAGCCCATCTAGCTGTTACTAACAGTTAAAGTAAAAGATAAGTTTCTTGTAAAAGTCGATGTAAAGTTCACTATAGATATACCACTTTATCATTAAGAAATTACCGATTCAACTATTCAGTCTTGTGTTTGCCAATGTTATTCGTCCATTTTTTCTGTTTGTGAAAATAGTTTTTATGCAACAAACATGTTCGAAGCCCTTCGTTTGAAAAAACAAAATGCATTAGGACATTGGTACAGCTTTTTTCTCTCTCCCTCCAAAAATTGTATTTCATCAGGCAAATCGTTATGAAGCTATCTGTTCTGGATTTGGAATTCTAGTAGACCGCTTTGAATTTTGAACAGTCCATTCAAATTTTGATGGATACCAACATTGAGCTGCCACATTATTAAGCATGGTCAGAATGCATGCATGTACATACTTTTCATTGTCTATACTAGTGGCAAGACTAAAAATTTTATGATGATTTGAAGGGATAAATTTGTAATGTAAAAGCATTCCTTTATACTCTGCGAAGCAAATATTTGTTTCATTTGTAAAGTTACATAGCGCGCAATAGAGTAAGAGCATTTAATTACTTCGAAATTGACGGAACTAATTCATCATACTCTCAACAAATGTTTGATTTTTTTCTTCTCATTATGCAGTTTGTAGTGAAATATGAATCAAGAAATCGAGGAGCTGAGAGATCTTGTTGAACAACTGAGGATCGAAGTGAAAATTGAGCCAATTATTGTCTCCGAGGCTATCAAGGATCTCATGAACTTTATTGAAACGAATAAAGAGAGTGATAAACTAGTTGTCGGCTTCCCGACTGCAAAAGATAATCCACTTAACGAAAAGAGCATTGGAGGTGGTGGATGCATGCTGATGTAGAGCGAAGAGTATATATGGCCAAGATGGGACGCGAAACTGGCTTCAACAAAAAATGTAAACGGAGTGTGATTAAACGTGAAAAGAAAATGACAATGAAAAGCATATGAATAGGATTTATGTGATAACAAGAAATAACTCAAGAAAACATTGCTATATCATTAGGAAATAGTCCGAACACATTTATATTGTTTTTTTATGTATTGCGTACATATGTCTGTCATAATTTTGACAATGTAAGACAATTTCATCTTTGTTTTGTTATTTTATCCGATGTAAATCAATGGATGTGATAATATTATTGTATATAATATCACCAGGTTTGTTAGGAAAACAACAAGAATATTAAAAACGAATATCTAAATATCTATCGGTTTAACTGAATTGATGAACACGAGAAAATATTTATACCTGAAAAATGTATATTTTCTTTACGAGTTACTTATGGAACACGAATTTCGTGTCTGTTTTAACAAAAACAACAACAACAAAGCAAAAAGAAAAAAAAACAATACATCGATCAACCAACATACTAAATATGGTAAAAATTGTGCAATAAATTATTAGAGATGGAAATCAGTTATCTATGACACCCTTCAGAATATTTATCCGAATTAAAGAAAAAACCATTTTGATGTCATTTGAAAATTTCCATTCCATCTCCAATAAATACACATATTTACACCAAAAGTCAGTGAATAAGTCCTTGCATTTTAAAAAGCCTCCGTGACAACTCTTGGCAGAGTCTGTTAAAACAAACAACAGTGCTGTATTTATTGAAAAAAAAAGATAATAGCACGACTATAAATTATGTCAGTAGATTAGGCTGTATGCCATACAAATAGATGTAGTTAGTTATAAGCAAGCCGGCTTAGCTCATAAGGTAGAGCACATTTAAAATAGTTGGTCGAAGAACGAATGTAATGATCCCGCAAATCATGTTAGATTAGTAGTCGGTCACCGAGAAATTTGTAATTACCTTTAAGCTATCAAAGATCAACCGCCGAGATATGACTAAAAATGTGTTAAAATCCGCGTAGAAAAAAAGAAACTACCTGCCTTAAAGCTTCTACTGTACATTTATGGAGACTGAAACTTATCTTTCTTCCCACATGCTAAAAGAAATCATATTACGATATATAATACTTTCAGCAATGAACTTTACAATTAACAACACTTTATTATTTTTACTTTCACTTTGACTTGCTTTAAAATGTATGTCAACATTCCAGCTTGACCGACGATAGAGAAAGACAAAGGAGTCCATCAGGGAGTTGAACCAACAATATTTTTTTTCAAGATATCTGGAAGATTCCTCCTGCAAAACACTTTCTGAAGTCTGCAAAACTCGTCCATTTAGACCCCTTACTAATATTGCTTGCTTCTGGATTTGAATATGTCTGACAAATTGACAATACAGATAAACTGTACTCAGACTTGCTAAATAACAAAACTTGTTTGAGCAGTGAGCTTCAATTTTCTCAACTGCACAAATCCTAAAGTAAAATGAAGAGATAATTCGGAATAAAAGTTTGACATCATTTCAAATGTTGCTGTAGTTTACAGGGACAGTTTGATAAGGTGCATCTACAAAGTTTGAATATCAAGATCAATTCACTTTGATTTAATGATTAATTTAATGTTTTGATGTTAGGAGTACCTTTGGCATTGGCATTTGACTATTTTACCTGAACATGGTTGTAACTCACCAGATGCCTATACAAAATACAGTTTAACCTATGTGGAAGACCACATTTGAAAAAAAAGAAGACCTCCCTGTAAATCAAGACTACTCCCTGACAAACCTAAATTGATAAAAATAAAAGAGAGTAATGTCTATAAAAAGACCACTTTTCTATAAATGCCATTTATGGTCCTCCGTTGGATGGCCTTTATTCACAGGTTTGACTGTATGACATTAATCTGACAAGTCCCAGTGACCTTTGACCTGAGGGAAAACTCAACAAGGTGCATCTACAAAGTTCTTAAGATAATGCACTTTGATTTCATGACCTGTTTGTTATTACATGTCCCAGTGACCTTGACCTCTTTACCTGAAAAAGGTGTGGCAGATAGAACTCATTTAGGTGCATCTACAAACATGTATTACATTTCAATATAATACCATTCTTTGTATTGAAGTGACCAACCAAAAATGTTTATAACATTGATGTCTATGCAGAAGTGTGGGTCATGATAAAGGCCTTTTCCTAGTGCCACTAGAATGTCAGACCCATTATTACAAATGGCAAATATGCTCATTTTTTTCCAAAAGCTTACATGAAAATCCCATTGGCACCCAATATCCAAATTAACAAATTTACTATGTTCATTCTTGTATCTAACAAAATGATATTTCCTCTTATTTAATGTTCAATTATTATTATTGTATTTCCAAAATGTCTAGGAAAAGGCATATGACACAATAACTCAACATTTCCTTTGAAATCAGGATCAAACAAGAGAGCAATGATGGCCCTGAAATCGCTCACCTGTATATAGGCCCCTGGGCCATTGCCAAATTTAAACCAGGGTCTTTTATTAGAACAAGCTTGGTAGAAAGCAATTAGAAGATGTTTCATGATAAATATCTAAGCTTTAACTCTTTGGGGTTTTTATGAGAAAGAGGGGCCAACTTTGATCCCAGGGCTTTTATTTAAACAAACTTGGTAGACATTAACTAGAAAATAATTCATGCTTAGTATCTAAACTCTAGCTCTTTTGGTTTTTTAAAAGAAGATTTTTTAAGTTTTTACTTTCAACGAAATAATGAAAATCACCCTCTGGGGCAGGGCCAATTTTTATTTGAACAAACCAGAAGATGTTCCATGCTTAATATCTAAGCTCTAGCTATTTGGGGTTTTTAAAAGAAGATTTTTTAAGTTTTTACTATATACAAATAAGGAAAATCAATGACCCCCAGGGTGAGGCCAATTTTGTCCCCAGGGCATTGATTTGAGCAAACTTGGTAGACACCAATAAGAAGATACTTTATGCTTAATATCTAAGCTCTAGCTCTTGTGGTTTTCTAAAAGAAAATATTTTTAGTTTTTACTATATACAAATAATGTATATCAATGACCCCCCGGGGCCGGACCAATTTTAACCCAAGAGCATTTCTTTAAACAGACTTGGTAGACACCCACTAGAAGAATTTTCATGCTTAATATTTAAGCTCTAGCTATTTAGGGTTTTCAAAAGAATTTTTTTAAAGTTTTTACTATATACAAATAAGGAAAATCAAAAAAGACCCTCGGGGCAGGGCCAACTTTGGCTCCAGGGCAGTTATTTATACAAACTTGGTAGACCCTGACTAGTTGATGTTTCATGCCAAATATTTTAGCTCTAGCTCTTGAGGTTTTCTAAAAGAAGATATTTTAAGTTTTTTCTTTCGGTTGCCATGTCACTTTGAGACAGGTGAACTAAAAAATGACAACAGATTTGAACTTTACACCTTTATTCAAATGTTTTAGTCATATACAAAATGTAAGATGAAAATGAAAACATCGGGCTTCTAATTTCTTATAGAAATGATTACCATGATAAACAGTCATAAAATGAAAATGAGATGAAAATGTTACCAATCATTTTGCAATCATTTTTCACTTGTTGAAAAGTACCAGCTCTTGACTTATTTTATTTTAATTTTATATGTTATGCAACTACATTCAATACATGTATACACTATAATATTTATACTGTTGCGTATTTTGGGCCGGAGGCCATTATTTACTTAAATAAAATTGAGTTGAGTTGAGTTGAGTTGAGTTGAGTTGCAAATATGTTCATAAAATATTTGAATGCAAAGTAAAACATTTCAACCTAGAAAAATAAAAGAGTTTAAAAAACAAAGTCATTTAAATCATTATCGATACAATATTTTGCAAGAGAATTACAACTAAAGACTTCTTTTCACCTTTTTTTGTAAAGAAACATAAGAAAAGTAAAATCTAAAATCCTTCACTTTTATTAGAATATTTCACATTATTATGCTGTTAGTTATTTCTAACCATCAGACATACTAGTATTTCTTTTACTGTAGAAGTAACATCCTTAGACACTTGCTATATAACATTACCCATTAATAGGCAATGTTGATGATTTTCTGGAAATGGAATTTAAAATCTCTTTGTCACTACAGAACTTATATAGGCTTGATCTTAAAGTGCAGTCCAATAAGAGAGAACACAAGGCATTTGAGATCCTGTACTAGGTAGTAGAATGTCCTCAAACCCTCCGGGTCCCTGAAATAATAAAACAAAAGTCATGTGATATCTACCTGTTAAAACCAATAATCAATTATTCAGAAAAGTAATTTTCTCTCTTTCTTACTATAAGATCGTAAATTGTAGATTGTTGTAAATCAATATTTAAACATTGATGATTTGATCATGATACAAGCAACTGGCAGTACAATCACTAAGGTCTAAGGGTGTATCATCTTAGGTGTATAGAAGTGTTATTTGGTATATACAAATTTATTTTAATTTGATTGTGTTGGAAGCTATAAGCTTATTGAAACACTCTCGAATCCCTTCCTGGAATCAACCAGTACTAAGCAATGAATGTAAAGTTTCTTGCTCAAGGAAACAACCAGCAGGGTTTGAACCCATGTGGTCAACAATCCTTAGATTACTAGTCCAAAGCGTTAACCACTAGGCCATGCCAACATGTTATTTTATTATTGAAAAGTCAACAATTATACAATAGTTATAATAATTTGTCAGATCAATATTTTGGCTATTGCATTCATCAAGAAAAAGTAAAAATTTCAAACATTCAACATGATGTTACTATACTAATCGAGTTATATTACATATAATCAATCAAGGGCCAAAATTACATATTCAGCATCATTTAATCTTTAATTTTACACATACAGTGACAGACTATATATGATTAACAATTGATTTGTTAAAACTCAAGATTTGACCGTAAGTTAACACTGAAAAAGAAAATAGAAAACTGATGATGACGAATGATGGAACAGGGTAACAATATACATTACTTCAAGCATTAACAGACACTTGAGGCTCTAAACTGGTACCATGTCCTTGCATCATTGTTGCTAGCACACAATGTATAAAGTAGCAGTGCAAATATCTTATCTTCTCTCTTTTAAAATTGGTGAAATAGAATAACATGTATTCTAATTAACTTAAGTATCAAATGCAATATATAATTACATTAGATAGCAGAGGCAGTATCAACAGAGAAATATACAATATACCTCCCATCAATCAATATGCATTGCATTTTCTGAGCTAATTTCTGTGAAGCTCCGAGATCAATTAATCTGATAAAAACTTGTGCATTAATTTCAAAGTGGCTTTAATCTATGATCACCAACAGATTACATGTATAATACTCAATGGTAAAGCAGTAATCTACAAAATGGAATCATTCATACAGAAGCAAATTGATTTGTTTAGTTAAATTTGCATAAAAAAACGACATAAATATATTATTAATGTTTTATCACTAAACTAATTTTTTCATTTACAGTTAAAATAATGGCAGACAGCATACTTGACTAATATTAGTTCTTGGAAATCAAATAAGAGCCTGGATAATGCAGATTTTTAAAACATTCAATTTGACAAAGGGGAATAACTCAATGAAATTGTCAGAAAATTGGGAAATCTCGATAAACCTAACATTCATTTTGTTTTGGTACTACACATATCTAAATATGTTCTTTAATAACAAGCCATATATGCCTAAAAGGTTGAGCTGGTTAGAAAAACTTTTCACAATTTTTTTTGAATTTTCAGAATTAATTTTCAATTTGAATCAACTTTTTCAATTTGTAAAAGGCCAATATTCGGCCTCTTTTTTTATGCAAAAATAAACAACAATCAAACAAATCCAACACTGATGTGCAAATAGAAGTTGCAGATAGGACAGCTGTGCCTTGAGTGACAGGCACCACTCTTTAACCACTTTACAATTACACACGACACAGACCGGGATCCAAGATCATAAAGAAAATTTCTATGCTCAAACTCATTCTCAGTTATCTGATTGGTCAGACCAGCACAGAATGTATATCGACCATTAAAAACTTTATAACCATAAAACCTGCAGACTGCATTGATTCAGCTAGATAACCCTATCTTTCTACAGCATGAAAGATTCTACCCCTCAGAAATCAGCTCAGGTAAATGTTTACTTAATATGAATAGGATAGAGCATATATTTTAGTAATAATACTGTTTTGAAATACTCACTTGCTCTGATTTACATCAACTAGTGACCCAATCTTTGATGTGGTAAATGATATATGCTCATCTCCAATTACTATCTCCAGCTCCTGAAAGTATAATTTATTTAACTTTAGTCTGTTTTACCTCTGAACCTCCTGAATTTGTGTAAGAGTTTTTTTTTCTACTTTGAATTTGAAAAGTCCATTTTTATTGGTAGATTCCCACTTTGACCTTTTATTTGAATAACAATTGGTTTCACCACAAACATTGGCATGTGCTCTTAAGTTAACAAATGTGTAATGGTGAAATTTTTTTAATCTGATCATTAGAATTAGACAGGTCAGGGATCTATGCATTTAAAGGGATTTCAATATCAAAACGATAGAAGAAAAGCAGTTAGAGCATGGTACGACTGCAAGTATGAGTAGCAACTCTAGGCCAAATAGAGAGACATGAAATTTCTAAAAAATGCCAAAAGCAGCATAAATGAAAATTTTGCAAGCAAATCATTTTCAGTTCCAAGAGTTAGATAAATGTACAGCATTTGAAGAATGGTTACAGATCTCGCAATTACAAGGCTGCTACAATACCTTTTATTTGAAAATAGGCTCATTAATTGGAAGTATCTATAAATCTCTAAGATATGGCGTATAATTGTAAATGTATATAGATGAAAATGTTAAATTATATTTTTTTTAAATCAAAAACATGTAAGTAATTATTTGAAACAATTTAGCAGAATCAACTTGATTTTGCACGAATTTACATAATACAGTGTTACAGGTATCACTTGAAATAGTGAATACGGAAAAATGGTATTGGACGTTGTTACATGTATTGCCCCAAAATCTATCATGGCAAAAGTTACTGGATTCAAAATGGCAAAATAAAAAGTTAATATAAGAATATGTATGATATCAATTACTATTTGTAATTCAACTTGCAAGAATCTTTCCATATGAATGAAAATGAATCACTTTTTTTTTTAAGGAAATGATAAATATATACCTGTCTGCCAACCCTGTCTGGAGGTGGCCATAAAGCATCATCTTCATGCATCACCTCTGAATCATCAATAATTCTCTTTAGTTCCTCCATTACTGACTTGTGTACATAAGCCTATAAAAGTAATTGTATTGTTATTGTCAATTGCTTACCAATAAAATGTTCAACACAGTGCCTTATTATCAATTTAGTATGGAAATTCCATACCACAGGACAAACAGCCAAAATGCTATATACACTATACACAACTTGAAAATTGAAATTCTAAATCACACTCTATTTTAGACTTCTTAAAACTGTCACAATTTCATAGCAAAAAGATAAATATTTACATATAGCACAGCAATACAAAAGGGTCACACAAAATAAGCTAAGTTCACTTGAACTAAATTCTTATTGAATTACTGTTTGCTTCAATTCAATTATTTCATTATTGGTTGAGTCAAAAATCAAATTAAATTCTTAATTTCTTCTTGTGAAAACTTTCAATAAATGAAAGTTTAGGAAAGTGTAAAACCACAGTTACATGTATTTTTCATGTAAATATATGGAAGTGGTTTTTGTAGTTTACCCTCTGGATAATATGACAGTAAGCCACTTTGAATAAATCAGAGCACAGCTCAACCACCACATTCCTGGGCAGGCTTTAAAGCAGTTTACCAGTACTACATGTAGATGCCATCAATTTTGCAAGGAACTGATATTTTATATGTTAATGTATGTGCAGAGGTACAGTGAGAATGACCATTGAAAGGATTTCATGATCACAAAACAAAAGTGACATGCATCATACGGGCATGAAACCTGGGTCAATAAAATGATAAAATCACAGTTGAATGCTCTTCAAATTGAACTAACTGGATGGCTTAATCTGAGTTTAACTGCATGTCACCATCAAAATTACAGCTATTATCATTAATAGGAACAATATTGATGTTTCATTGAATTTTTTTTCTCAGTGAATCAATTATCAATACAGACTTGAAAAAAAAAAGGTAATTTTGACTAATTAGTAAAGAAAAAAAGAAAGAAAACATGCTAATTGTAACTGTATTAAAACTAATACACATCATAATTCAGAATAAGTATTTTATTGAAATCATGAAAACAGGTATGAAAAAGGTTAGTCGAAGACTTATACTTCATAAATTGATGACTAATATATTACTTATTAGTCATCTTATATTGATTATTTTGATATACATGTATGGCTGCAATGCTTTGGACTAAAACATTGACTGACACCTCTTGTAATTCATCTACAAGTATATCTAAATGCTGATTTAAATTGAAACATGTATGTTCAACTTAGATTTAAACCATCAAAAATTGAAATATAAGTATATGATCACACAATAGATATAAAACATAGTCATACATGTATTTCTTTTTTTACAAGTTTTACTAGTTGACACTCAGTAATGGCATAGAATTAATGGAACCATTAGTTTTGAATAATAGTTGTATTTCGGGACATTTTTTTAAAATTATCATTGTACATTTTCTTAATAGATGGGCATTCTTTACCATTAAATTTAGCATTTATCCCTAAAAAATAATGAAACATTTATAAATAAGAAAACATACCTCTTTCCTGATCATTGTGTCATTTTTGTAATTAGAGTTGTTTGCATATCTCAGTTTTCCTGAAATTAGAGTATTTAACAGTCTTTGTTCAAGTGTTCAATTGAAAATTTATAAATTTAAAAAGTTTTGAATGATTATTAATACATATTAACAATATATATTGGGCTTGCAGACTTATCAAACATTGGCCATGACAAGGTTACAACATCTTGGAGCTAAAAGTGAAAAGTCCTGAAATCAAATAGGAGGTCCTAGGATATACAGACAGTTCACCCCTCAGACACTTCATCCCAAGCCATTTTTTACAGACATTCCATCCATCTTTTGATGAAATCTGTTTGTGAAGTGTCTTGAAAACTGTCTACAAAATTTTAGGGTTGAAGTGTCTTGAGGTTGAAGTGTATTGTTCAGGTCTAGAATTTCCTGATATTTATGGACTCTCCGTATTTAAAATTTAAAGATTTTTCAATCAATAAATTTTAAGATATTCAATGTTAAATTTGCTGTTAATAGTTTAACACTAAAATCTGCAGCATAAGAAAAGTTGTTTTATTGATTGATTATATTTACAAAGATAATGGGGGAGTTTCACCTTTGTATGATGATTTTGAAACTTTGTATGATGATTTTGAAATTTTTGTTAAAAGTGAAAATTGAAAGTCATCAAATTGTTCTGGATCTTATTATACTGTTACATTGCATCATATAATATGTAACCTTATTCATTTTAACCTGTGGTTTTGAATTTTAATGCAACTCTTTCTATTTTGTAAATTTACAGATAAAACAAGGGTGCCATAGTCACAAAATACGCCCGTTTACGAAAAAGCTTTAGATGGAGATGGGGGCATTATGGATAAGTGTTATCTAGCAAGCAAGTTTTTATTCTTGGCACTGTGTTGTTAAATGAACCTTAAAACAAATCAATAGGGAAGATATGCACAGAATGTGTGACCTTGACCTTGGTCGCAGGGACCTGAATTTTATGCACGGCACTCAGCCTCACAATGATGAACATTTGTGCCAAATTATATTGAAATCCCTCTATGCATGTAGAAGTTTTGCTCCAGACAAGTGTTTTTCTATGAGCTCTAACTGTGACCTTCACCTTTGACCTAGAGACTTGATTTATGTGCAGGGCACTACGTCTCATGGTGGTGAACAATTCTATAAAAGTAACATTAAAATTCCTCCATGCATGTAGAAAATATGCTCCGGACAACATCTGGATATTTAATCATCTCCAGTGACCTTGACCTTGCAAATATTAACCTAAATTAAATGTGTAACACCTGTAGTCATGATAGTTACCATTTGTGCTACAATCCATCAATAAATGATGACTAAATGGTCCCTATAACCATCTTCAAATTTTTATCTGAACTTTGACCTCTATGTGTAACCTTGACTTTGGTCGCAGGGATCTGAATTTTGCATGCGACACTCAGCCTCACAATGAAAAACATTTGTGCCAAGTTATATTGAAAACCCCCTATGAATGTAGAAGTTTTGCTCCGGACAAGCGTTTTTCAATGAGCTCTAAGTGTGACCTTGACCTTTGACCTGGAGACCTGGATCATGCATGGAGCAATACATATCATGGTGGTGAGCATTTCCATAAAGTATTATAAGAATTCTTCCATACATGTAGGAGATATGCTCCAGACAAAATCTGGATATTTCACCATCTTTAGTGACCTTGACCTTGCATATATTGACCTAAAGTACATGTGTCACAGCCGTAGTCATTATAATGACCATTTGTGTTACAATCCCTCAATAAATGATGATTAAATCGTCCCTATACACATCTTCATATTTTTATCTTTTTTTAAACGGGCGTATAAAAAGTACATGTAATTTAATAACTAAAAAATTCTGATTTAAGATTTTATTCTAGGGAAATACATTTCATTACAATTCTTAATCTTTGAATGAGCTGAACTGATATTTACTTGAAAATTAAAATATAATTAAATTTCTATGAGAAAGTATTTACATTTGATAAGGTAATTACTGTATGATCTTTATGAACAAATACCAAGTCTACAGAACACCATAGTTATCACAGTTAAGTATCTTGACCAATGAATGAAACATGTGTAAATAAATGTTACATTCTTTACAACATACTCGAGTCCAAGAAAGAGGATTATTTCATGCCCTTTGATTAAATTCTATTTTTAGAAAATAGATCAAGGGGAGTAATTGTGTAAGTCATTTATGAACAAAGTAATAACTTTGTTGTCTCCCTTTGATTAAATTCTATTTACAAAATCTGGATATTTCATCATCTTTAGTGACCTTGACCTTGTATATATTGACCTAAATTATATGTATCACAGCCATAGTCTTGATAATGACCATTTGTGTTACAATCCCTCAATAAATGATGACTAAATGGTCCATATACACATCTTCATATTTTTATCTGAACTTTGACCTCTAAGTGTGACCTTGACCTTGGCCGCAAGGACCTGAATCTTGCACGCGACACTCCGCCTCACAATGGTGAACATTTGTGCCAAGTAATATTGAAATCCCTCTATACATGTGGAAGTTTTGCTCCGGACAAGCATTTTTCAATGAGCTCTAAGTGTGACCTTGACCTTTGACCTAGAGACCTGATTCATGTGCGCGACACTGCTCCTCATAGTGGTGAACATTTATATGAAGTTTCATTAAAATCCCTCCATACATGTAGGAGATATGCTCCGGACAAAATTGGACGCCGCCCGCCCGCCCGCCTGCCAGGGGCGTTCCCATAATACGTCCCGTTTTTCAAACGGGCGTATAAAAATCTGTTAAATTATTGATCGTCCAAAAATTTATAGTCTGTCCATAAATATAATGAAATCCTAGACCTTTTGTTCCCCTTGGACCAACTCATGGGACCCATCTCATACAGGGAAGTCAAAGGCCGAGACCATGTAGTGGGCCTGGGTATTGCCTTTCTGCATAGTCATGCCAAATTTCTAGCCATCCAGATAGGGGGATTTGCCTTTAAAAAGCAGCAAATTTGGACCAAAATTAGGGTGATTTTTAAGCAAATGCAAACCAGTTGTAATCTTAAAACTATGCAAACATATAATTATATTTCCCCCATTTAACTTTAATTATGAAAATGAGCATTTCTACAACATCATTTGATATTTTTGAGTTTTAAACAAAAATAAATAACAACTAAAACATTATCCACAATGTGGTACATCCGAAATCACATACTTTTTTTTCATACATGGCATTGTTGATTCTTTCAGCAATGTATGTTGATATGCGTCAGGAATTAAGTGATTTCTTTAATTACTAAATATAATTCAAATATTCTTGATACAAAGAATGTGAAGAATGTCAAATAAAAGATACACTGGAATTTAATCTGCAATGAATTCTTCATGGAAATATCTTTAATTGAGTTTTATTTCCAGTTTTCACTTTAAAAAAGTTTAATATATACATTTGTATTATGAATAATTATAGACTGTTTTGCAATTATATTTTAATCATTTAATGATTTATTGTTTTCTTTCTTTAAAAATTTAGAGTTGTAACTGATTCCCCCCTTTCAATCCCTCCTCAGTGTTTGTTGGTTACTGTGTGACAAATCTAGTTTCAAACATTGCTAATCTGTGATTTTTAGTAAAGTAATATATTATGTATTTCTTATGAAAAGGACTTGTATGGAGCTAAAGTGTGTCACAGATACACTATTATACCTAAACTCCACTGTATCAGAGCAACAGATAAGGTGCGTATTTGCGTATTTACACAATTAATTTTATAAAATACGCAATTAATTTTTTAAGAATGCGTATCAAAACCCATTAAAGAAATAAAATACGCAATTGTCTTAAAAACCCGTGCATATTGTCATTTTCATCACAGCAAAATTAATCTGTCGTACGCTCCTAGTTTTGGACAAAATATATCGATATGCAGGCTATCCGAACATTCCCGAATCAATGCTAACTAATCAACGCCTCCGGTCTTCGACAGTCCCCGGTCTCAAAAGACCGACTAAGCCATATCAATAAAGCATGAGATCGTCGATTTGTCTACTCAGGTCGACGGTCTTTACAGACCGACAGAGACCGTCAATAAGAAGGTCCCAGCTGTATCAATAGACGCTTTGAAAGCAATATGGCGTCATACAAAAGGGAAAATGATTTTAAACAAAACAGTCGTAAATAATCAACAATCAGTCAGAAAACGAACTTGTTAAAATAATATGAAATATAACATGAGCATTTTATATAAAACTAGAAATGTGTCCATAGGACACAGATGCCCCCACCCGCCACTGTTCTGTCAATCTTATGACTCTAGGTCAAATATTTTTTAGACTACATGTGCCACAAGTTGAAAACTAAAAATCAACAAAGGGCCATAATTCTGTAAAATTTGGTCACAGCAAAAATTCCTTCCTTTACTACCATCTACACATTAAGGTTGTTCATCCCTAGAAGTTTAAGCAAAATCTGCCATCCGGTTTAAGAGGAGTTGCGTTCACAAAATTTCTTTATGGTATATAGTGAAAAAATTAACAAAGGTCCATAATTCTGTTAAATTTGATCGCAGCAAAAATTCCTTCCTTTACTACCATCTACACATTAAGGTTGTTCTTCCCTGTAAGTTTAAGCTAAATCTGCCATCCGGTTTAAGAGGAGTTGCGTTCACAAAATTTCTTTATGGTATAGAGTGAAAAAAATTAACAAAGGGCCATAATTCTGTTAAATTTGATCGCAGCAAAAATTCCTTCCTTTACTACCATCTACACATTAAGGTTGTTCTTCCCTGTAAGTTTAAGCAAAATCTGCCATCTGGTTTAAGAGGAGTTGCGTTCACAAAATTTCTACATAGTATAAAGTGAAAAAAATCAACAAAGGGCCATAATTCTGTTAAATTTGGTCGCAGCGAAAATTCCTTCCTTTACTACCATCTACACATTAAGGTTGTTCATCCCTGTAAGTTTAAGCAAAATCTGCCATCCGGTTTAAGAGGAGTTGCGTTCACAAGATTTCGGGACGTACAGACAGACAGACGTACGGACAGACGGACGGACAAGTGCAACGCTATATGCTCCCACTTTGTGGGGGCATAAAAATAAAACAATTGTGAAAAGTTCTAGTAAATTGTTAATCCTATTTAAAATTTCTTTTTAAAACAGTTTAAATTTTATGGATAGAAACCATAAAATTCATATTTTCATACTTGAATACCCAATTGATCTTGAAATCATATGGTATCGTTGTTGGAATACCCAATTAAATGGAACCAATACCCAATTCCAAAGGAAATGATGGAGTAATACCCAATTCACTTTTAAAGCTTATCTGTTCAATGCTCTGCTGTATTAAATTTTTTAAGGGAAAAAACCTAAACTGTATAAATTTTTAACGGAAAAAACATATAGTTGTGACTCTCTATTATGTTGTTTAGTACATAATATAAATTACATCATAAGTTTCCCCAAATTAATTTTATTTGTTTATTTTTTCCCTTCCCTACTAGCGTCCAGCGTCTTCCCCTTTTCCTTAAAAAAAACCTCTGGCATGTATGCCTTTCTGGGCTATTATATAGGCTACACATGTATATTTAAGAGAAAATCAAATAAAAAAACAATTAAAGAATATATAGAAATCTAAATTTCTATACCTATCAATGAAATTTTCAGCATCAGTTCTAGTTGGGCGTCGCCATTTTCAATGTTACTCAAAGATAATGGCCCACTAAAATGGGCAAGTTATTCCTATAACGAACAATAGCAACTTTTCGAATTAATAATAATCGTTGATTATTCTGAGTGAAAACAGTTTTCTATCTAGTGCATTAAACACCGGATGTCACCTTTATTGGCATTATTATTGGCATTTAAATGGAAAAATGAAATCTTTTTAAACCGTCTTCCCAGGATTGACAAGACACTTCACCCCAAATAATAATAGAGAGCTTGAGGGCCTGCTTGCGTACACTACACATCGCAACTTTTCGAATTACAAGATAACATCATAAAAGCTGAAAAATTCTGATTGAAAATGAATGCTTATATTGGTGTCCTGCGCACTTTCATAGGAACGATACAAGGACAGGGAACCACATTAAATGGAAGCAAAGTATAAAATACCGAATGAAAGTTCTAAAATCATAAAAATGGAAAATGTTAAATAAAAATGAAGAATATTGTTTGATACTATTTCATGGTAAAATTAAATTGAGCTCACTTTGAGGCTTTGCCTTTTCATTGTGGCACAACAAAATAAATGTATTAAACAGAAATAAATGAAGTCTAACAAAGAATTGAATTTTCAACAAAAAAAGTAAAATTACCTCCCTTTGTTTAAAGAGCCGATGCTACATTGAAATCGGCTTATTTGTTTAAATCAAAGTGGAAATAAAAGTGTACTTCTAGCAAACATAGATATGAATATTTACCATCTGGACGAAATTCAAATTCTAAAAATTCATGGCCAAATTTGCCTTTGTGTCCAACATAATATCGGAGGTAAAAATCTGTGGAGGCAGCCATTTTAAACACAAAGCTAGTACTTTGTATACAATGCAAATATTCGGTTATGTACTATTTGTTTGATAGATGCGGATTTGACCATAATAACCGATAATATTAAATAAATAACATTCTAGATATACAACATAGGTGAGAATCAATGTTTTTGTGCATAAATCTTCTCAAACTCGTAATTTATTAGATACGAATATTTTGCTATGCCAAAAAATTAGCATCGTCTGAACGTCAACAAACGTTTTGACATTTCAAAGCATTTAAAGAATCAGAAATCGAACACATGTAAAAATGACGGAAGACATTCCAAGTAAACTTATCTACACACAAATATGCAAACAGGGTGCTGTCAGAGCTGTAAGATTCAACGGTAATATGACAGTTGAAAAAGTGAAGTAGTGTTCGGTCAAATTGAAGGTAAAGGGTCAACTCGGCCCTATACCAACTCGGCACGGGTCAACTCGGCTCTCTTTTAAAAACTTATATTAGGATTTAGATTGTTTAGTAAATCAGGGGTTTTTTTTACTAACAAATTGACACCGATAGTCGGCGTCTTCCCCTCGGTAAATAGCCAAGTTTTTTCCCCCAAAAAATTCTATTTTTCCTTTAAACTGGATCAGATTTAATAATTACATGGTTTAAAATATTATTTTTCTTCATTTTATGCAGGATAAACCACCAATTGTTGTTCAAAATAACCAAAAACATTGCAGGAAACTGCAAGTACTGTCTCAACATGGAGGCAGCCATTTTTTTTTCTTGGCTATATCCCGTACTGAACGGTACTATTTCTGGAAATCAGTTGCTATCAAAATATTGTCATTTTCTTGGTTATTTTTAGTAAAGTAATATATTTTGTACTTCTTATTATGAAAATGACTTGTATGGAGCTAAAGTGTGTCACAGATACACTATTATACCTATACTGTATTAAATTTCATACAAAAATAGAAGTATAAAAACCATTCACCACCATACATATTAAGAAAATATGTTATACTGCAAAGAATATTTTGCATGATGATAAAGTTTTTAAGGGGAAAAAGATATAGTTGTAACTCTCTACTATACATGTAGTTAAGTATATAGTATAAATAACGTCATAATAAAGTTTCCCCAAATTGATTTTTTTCGTATATTTTTTCCCCTCCCTACCAGCGTCCAGCGTCTTCCCCTTTTCCTAAAAAAAACCCCTGTAAATATAACATTTAAGGAGTAAATTATTGTAAAAATAATCAAAAGTACGATCAATTACAAATAGAAATTGAAAAGGATGACGGTGTACATTTAAGTATTGTTTGAAATTATCTTTGTTAAGAAGATACAATACACATGTATGTTAATTAAATATTGATCCATAAATAAAGTTTTTGGATTGAATTTTTATGACAATAAATGTTATTGTATTTAATACTTTTTGGGTGTTTGTTCTTTTATACGACCAATGCTGTTTTAACGATATTTTTTTTTTTACTAAAAACATCTGAAGTAGACAAAACATGCATATAAATTGTAAACTCTTCCTTTCTCTACAACTCGCATACAAATTGGTACTTTCGTCAAAAAAAAACTTTTCAATATCCTTAAGTAGATGTCTATTACTGTGAAAATGTTAAAGAATGAAAGTTATGATGAAAACATTTAAAAAGTAGTCATTACTAGTAATATATAAGTATGGGCCGAGTAAACCCGTGCCGAGTTGGAATAGGGCCGAGCTGACCCGGGGGCCGAGTACATTTTAGGGCCGAGCTGACCCCGATTCAAATTGAATACGACTGAGACTTGCAGTCGCTTTACTTTACTGTCCCGAGTATATTTCATTATATGCCGTATGGTAAAGGACATTTAAGTGGAATGTTTCAATTATGTAAATATGTCGATACTGTACTGTAACTGATAACATTTGTTCAATTTATTGAAAATTAATAAAAGAAATGTCTATCTTTTTTTAGTATTTAGGGATCGTATATTCAATCAGCCACAGAAAAGAATAAAGCTATGTTAAGTAATGACCAATTAGCCATGTCGTTTACCTGAAACATTCGCTGAATCTTGTAGATTTCATCACTTCATATTTAGCGGTAATTTTCATGGTGTTTGACCACTAATACCTGCCTGCAGGCAGATTAAATTAATACTGGCCAGTTGTTAATTACAGTGTACTATGACACCTTCGCTTAGGGAGCCACAGGGGGTAAACAATTAACCTTTTTAATAAAGTTTTTATTGATCTAAATTATTGCCGATAATTGTTTGTTGGAAGGGGCACATAGATATACCAATCAAAGGCTTAGTGTCATGATTGCAATGCTGTAAGGGGATAATCATTCGTAATTACATGTAGCGTTCCAGACTACATGTAGATTATAAAAACTTGACAATAAAAACAAGAACTCAAGAACATTTGAAAAATCGGGTATAAATCTGTTAGCCTGTGCTTTATGTTTGCAATTTTGCATTATAATTATGTAATTTTGAATTGGCAAATAATTTAAAATTTTAACTCAAAATTACCAGATTTTAAGCAAGAGGCGATGGAAATGGCCTATCAATTAGTTTTTGACACATAATGCAAGAAGTATGACAAGCTTAATCATGAAAGTTAAATTTAGCACCTAATACTCATTTTTAAAGATGAAAATAGCCATTTTTGACGAGTGTTTTTGTATTGTATACAGATGTTTTCTGACAAACACCGTGACAGTTATCACAAGAACTCCTGAACGAGTTGTCATAAGAACTCCATCATTCGTGTAACAGTTCCTCCCCCGTGATCATGTCGAGCCAGTCTGAAATTAAAATCCTTGCTCAGAGCCCTTGCACTGTAGTCATTTGACACCAAATCTTGTAATAAAATATAAAGGCCTGATCAATTTGATGGAAGCATCACTATAGTCCGAGCATGATTAACAGAACTTTCGTCAGTTCTAAAAATACCAGCACAGTCCATTAAAAGATTAACTCAGGTAAACATAGGTAACTGCAAGTGATTAACCAAATAATTACATTGAAAGTTATACAAATTATATTTTGTGAGATGTTATCTTCGTTTGACTGTATAGCACAGTAAGTAAGACTGCTTATTAATATGAATTTCAAAGTGAATTAAGCTAGTGGGTTCGAAACCTGTTGGAAACTGTTTAAATTTTATTTAATTTTTTTTTCCGATTACTTACTGTCTGACAAAATGAATATATGATTACGCATATGAACTTAAAGATATTGTATTTTTTTGTCTCTTGAAATTTGTTAAAATATTCATACATTTGTAATATGAAATGAAAAACATGTAATAAAGGAGGTGAAGATACTTCGTGTAAAAAGTAATATAGATACATCAATAAAAAATAAACAAGAAGAATTACCGTTATGTAGTTTCGTGTATATATATGAAAGGGAAAATAAACAAACTAGAAAAGAAACTTTTTTGAAGCCCGTGTTACCCTCCTGTCGATGAGTAGGTTCCTTCTGAGCATAGTGCTCTACCGATTGAGCTATTGCGACATTTATTATTTACTTATACAATTATCAGTCAAACGTACAATCATTGAGATGTGCAACATTTCATTTACCTATATAATATTAATATGGAATGTTCCGAACTATAAAAAGTTATGAAGAAAGTTCTGTTTATCGTGCTCAGATTATAAATAGTAAGGGGGCATATAAACAATTGACTTTTGCCTAACTCAAATGCCACATTATGTTGAATAAATAGTATTTGTCTTTCTACAGTTGATGAAATAGTTTTTATCCTTATACAGTTGATGGCTCATACTGCCTGAGCTGTGGAAGTGACAAGAGTGTAAAACTGTGGAATCCACACAGACAGTTGTTGCTTAAGTCGTATATTGGTCATGGGTATGAAGTTCTTGATGCCCAGAGCTCAGGAGACAACAGTCAGATATGCTCCTGTGGTATGGATAAAACTGTGATAGTATTTGATGTGGCCTCTGGGAAATCTCTGAGAAGATATCGAGGGCATGCAGGTTAGTGTGTTATTGGGATATAGATAGGGCTGGCAATGAATATCGTGATATTCAACATTAGATTCAATATAGCTTAGTTTGGAATAGGGATACAATATAAAACCCATTTCTCTCCGTCTTGTGAAAATATTTCTCTATTTGTCAATGTCATCAATAATCATTTCTAGATTGACAAGGATATTTAGGATATCCTACTTATCTGTGCATTATGCAGACTCTTCTTTTTACTATCAAAGGTGAAAGCACTCAAAATGATTGAGCAGAATGCCTTACTGGTATGTCTTGTTTTAATAAGGGAAAAGCAGGTTGATTTTGGTGTAGAATCTATGGACTCTTCACACTTGATTAGTGTCTGCCAGTATGAAAGGAATACCTGCTTGAACCTAAAATAAACAAAATCGTAAATGTCATAAAACAGGTCCATGAAATATCATTCTAATGAAATTATATGGATAATTCATATTTCATTTCTGATCAGAATTTGTTATACATAAAAAATATGTCATTTATCGCAATATAAAATTTTGACCTATTTTATTTGCAGGAACAGTTAACTGTGTTAGGTTTAATGAAGAGTCAACGCTGGTTTTGTCTGGTTCTATAGACAGTACTGTGAAAATATGGGATTTAAAATCAAGAAAAATGGAACCAGTCCAGGTAATATGAAAGCTTCTTGGGAAAAGGGTATTTAGTATCTTCTCTCTGCCCCTCGGTATGTGCAAGATATAGGGAAGAAACAGGGCATCGGCAGATTTGTCTGAAATTCTTGACTGGTTAAATCTGAATGTTTGGTACATATAGAACAGGTCCTACAGACCAAACTACCCCTTTATCAAATGGGAGTTAAGCTTCTATTGCTATTGTACAAATTCATCTGCTGATGCTCTGACATTTTGCGACTTGAGGGAGGTTGGCCTAAATATGGCATGGCAATGACAAAGATGGGATACTAGAGAATGTGAGTCCAAACGACTTTAAAGGCCATTTATCCTTAATATTTGATTATACATATTCCCTGAGTAAAACATTTATGTCGCAATCTCTTCATAGAATATTTTTTACTACAACTGTATTTTGGATTTTACTCACAGGTTTTAGATGAATCGAAGGACAGTGTTACTTGTATACAAGTTTCCGATCATGAAATACTTACTGGTTCAGCAGATGGTAGAATAAGAAGATATGATCTCAGAAATGGCAAACTACACACAGACCTTATAGGAAGTAAGTAGTCAATCTCATCTAAAATAAGTATGTTATAGAATGATATAAATTTATGTATTTATGATTAAGAAGCAATACTTTCTGTTAGACTGTCTGTAATTGTTCGAACATTTTTAGCTTGACTATTTGAAGAATAGGGAGAGCTATTGTATTTGAAATCATGAAACAGATAGGAAAATGAAATATAGATAAGTGATATACATGTAATGATATAATACTTTGTATATCATCAATAATTGTCATTTGAAATTGATAACTATGTTGTTGATATATGATATATGTTGTGTATGCTTTCAACTGAGTAAATGACAATTCTACATCCTTTATTTATAGAATCTGTAACTAGTGTCAACTTTACAAGAGATGCACAATGTGTGTTAGTATCTACACTTGACAACAGTTTGAAACTGATGGACAAAGATTCGGGTGAAATGCTTAATGAGTAAGCTTCTTTTACATAATATTCTCTCACCTTTTTTAATGAATAACTAAATCTTATCTGCTATATAGAAATACTACAGGAACTTCTCTTATTTTATGAAATTATATTCTGCATCTAAGGTTCATATACTCAAACATTTGAGCCGCGTCACAACAAAACCAACATAATGGGTTTGCGACCAGCATGGATCCAGACCAGCCTGCGCATCCGCGCAGTATGATCAGGATCCATGCTGTTCACTATCAGTTTCTCTACTTGTTATAGGGTTTTTAAGCGAACAGCATGGATCCTGATCAGACTGCGCGGATGCGCAGGCTGGTCTGGATCCATGCTGGTTGCAAACCCATTATGTTGGTTTTGTCATGGCGCGGCTCATTTACATTAAAGAGATTGTAGATTCCTCACCTGAACTTCTCGTCATTTTTTCTCATAACTGTGTATAATATTGTATTGGAAGCCAGAAATTTACTTTTTGTTTCTAACATAGATTTAAAGTCTGAACTTACCGTAACATTTCTTGCTGTTATGATATGCTGGGGACACAAACCCTTACCTTTACATTTCCTATTGTAATTAATTAAATATACTGGACATGAAAACTTACCTTTACATTTAATTTTTCTCCCTTCTGTAAATAAACACAAAAGCTTACCAATTTCTCAATGTTGTAGATATACTGGACACAAGAACAGTGATTATAGAATAGATAGCTGCTTAAACAGTAAAGACACACATATACTGAGTGGATCTGAGGATGGTTTTGTTTATATCTGGGATCTTATAGAGGTAAAAGTTAAGATTATGTAAATTTTGGTCTTCTGTAGCGATGCATTTAGTCACTGCTTTGTCCATCAATCAGTCATAAAACCGGTGAGGGCCAAGTATTTAGGAATTTAACATTTTCCTGGCTATATATCACATGTGTATCATACTTATCCCTTATTTAATTTTGACCTAACCAATAATGTAAAATACGAATACAGAAAATCATCTTCAATTTAAAACTTAACCACTGCATTATTTCATAATCTGAACACCAGTAAATTAAAAGATTGCAATAATCAAAAATAGTTATACATGTAATTACATTTGTACGTAAATCAAAATACTGAAATTGAGTTATTTTGAATGCATGGGCAGTCTGGTATAATGGTACATTGGCAGCACATGTGGCTGGTATAATGGTATATTGACAGTTGTGCTACATGTTATTTAGGCAATTGCATAAACATGGTGTATTTCCAGTACATGTACCTCTTTCCTTACATTTTCATTCTGTTATCTGAGCTTATCTCCCATGGATCTTATAACTGTGTAGTGACTACATGTTTTATGTTGAATAAAATTTGGTATTTGTATTATTATATTCTAGTATTGTATTTTTTTGCAGGGCAAAGTGATACATAAACTGGCACATGAGGGCCAGAAAGTTGTACATTCTCTGACATATCATCCATCTGAGACTTGTCTAGTTACTGCAGCTGGTGACAAAATGTTTGTATGGAAGTCAAAATATGCTTCTAGCCTTGATACATGAAAGAAGTTAAAGTGCCATTACGAGGTGGAAGTCAAAATATGTTGATAGCCATGATACATGAAGGAAATTGAAATGGCATTGTGGTATTAGATGGAGGTCTAAAAATGTTGCCAGCCTTGATACAGGGTAGAAAGCAAAGTGCCATCCTAGGATAGAAGTAAAAAGATGTTGCTAGCTTATACTCCATAAAAATGTGCTATTCTGATTGGTTATATCGTTCTGAAGCACTAAGTATTATTCTCAGCAAAATTTCCATTAGAAAATGGACTCCTCCAAAATCTGTATGTTTTCCAAGTACAGATTTGGCTGTTATACTTTGTACAGAAAATAGCTGTCAAGCCTGGATCTTCTGTAATCTGGATGGAAATTATAGATATCTGAACTTATTCATCGCTAATATCTATCCATCTAGTTTTGTGAAATACTGGTAAATTCATCTATAAAATTCATCTGTCTATGACAATATAAAGTTAAATGAATATCAACTATGATTTTTGTTAATTTTATGTTCATTCATTCAAAGTAAAAGAAAGCTTACACTTCTGTGTTCTATACTGTTTGCAGCTCAATTGTTATGCATGTATTCTGATATTGAAATTCCTAATATTTTGAATGGTTTATTCCAAATTTTAAGCAGGGCAAATCCATGCAATATTTAAGAAAAAATAAAAGCTGCACTCAGTCACCTCCAGTTGGATAGATGTAAAAAAAGTAGGTTATCATAGTTTAAAAATGGTACAAATATTTACAATCCAACCGACTTTTTGTATTATTTTATACAAAATGCCATTTAATTCCTTTCTTTTGTCATAATTTGTACATGTACCAGATCAAATCTGGAGATGTTGAATTTAACAAAGTTACTTTAAAACTAGGTTTTGTAAATAGTAATTTATGTCATATTTTGTTTAGAACACTCAACATTTCACTTAATTATGAATATTACCATATTTCTTAAAATATAGGGTTGTTTGTGTGTGTTTTTAGTTTGATAATTACCATTACTCGTCCTAAGATGATGTTGCAATAAGGGAGCACAATCGAACGTGATTCTTGTATTGTTTAAGATAAAAGTGTTAATTTGTATAGAAAAATAGTAAAATACTCTGGCAGAAGTTCCTGGTTAGTCAATCAATATGATAATTAAATTAACAGGTTCTCTTTTTCCTGTGAGAGCTTTGTGATTTCTGTTATATCTACAAGAATATGAGATGTTGACTTGAAGGATTGTACAATGTGATTAGCATGACATCCAAACATCCTGTAAAAAAAAGAAAAGTAATCATGTCCCATCCTTAACATCAGAGTTTTGTTGGTATGGTTCATCTGTAACAAGCTCGCTAGGTTGGTGTTCATTTGAGATGGGTCATTGTGGGTGGACTTGCTACTGTAATAACAAAGTCTCTAGAGACTATAACCAATTTTACTTTTACTACCATTAAATTCTATTCTAAGGGCATGCCTAATCAGTGACATGGCTTCCTATAGACCATGTAGGCAACAGACTTTACACTGCGAAGAAATTCAAAATTAAAAAGATAAAAGTTATTTGTCTACCTGCAAATTCTAATATTTACCAGAACAAATTTACTATATTAAAAAACGTGTATTTTACATTCAAAATCCTCCTTTTGAACATGCAGATGTAGTCTGTGTCAACTGTATAAAATATGAAAAGCTTGAGCTAGATTATTAAAATTCAACAAGAATCCCCACGTACAGTTTCAACGGCCATTAAAGTAGTATCTCTTTGTGAACTACAAAGAGAAGTTCTTTTGGAATCCATCGAAAACTGAAGATGGAATTATAAGAGCCGTGTCACGACAAAACCAACATAATGCGTTTGCGACCAGCATGGATCCAGACCAGCCTGCGCATCCGCTGTTCGCTATCAGTTTCTCTACTTGTAATTGAGTTGGTAAGTGAACAGTATGGATCCTGATCAGAGTGCGCGGATGCGCAGGCTTGTCTAGATCCATGCTGGTCGCAAACACATTATGTTGGTTTTGTCATGGCGCGGCTCATTTTGTTTTAGGCAAAATGAGAAAAAGTCTCACACCAGATTATTTATTGTCTTTAATCCCACCATCTGTTGGAGAATTGTCCAGGTACATTTCTCAAAATGCTTCTGATACAATACACACAAGGACTTCCCTTTTTCCATAATAAAATGCATTTCTGCCACCTACGTTGAGAGAGATTGGAACCCACTCACAAGAGAAGTATAAAACTCAACATCTTTGTCCTCCTTTAAAGGCAACTTAAAGGTAGCATAAAAGAAATGCTCCAAATATTATTTTATAGTTGGAAGAAACATGACCCTGAACAGGATGCAGCTCTCTAAACCATCACCTATTCTGAAAAAATATGTCTCTCTCGGGGAAAATTGTCGATGTGGACTCCTGGAAAGAAACCACCAGTTCTTTGAGTGTCACTTCCATAATGATATCAGACTAATGATATCAGACCTTGACTCTTTGATGATATTTCTAACCTCTGTACTATAATTCCAATTATCTTACTAAAGGGTGACCATAATCTTAGCCATGACATTAATTCTAAAGATTTTCAAGCAGTTCAGGTAAACATACGTGAAAGGAAGCGATTTCCATGAGCTTAGTTTCACAAAATAATTTGCCAAATTGACCTACATGAATGAATTTTCACAAATTTCTTTCTCTATTTATGCAATCATTATCTTGTTTATCTTCTGTTAACTTAGATTTTGAACAATTAACATGTTGTATTTATTGTTTGAAATAAACTATGTTTAAACTAAATTAGCCTCGCTCTGGGTTGGTCATGGATTTTCTTATATATATATAGATACAGAAGCTTTAAGTACTAGCTTTTTACCGAGTGACCTACTTTTGTATTGAAAGTTACAGCATTAAAAGATACAGATTCAGCTTTGATTAAGTTGACCTAGAATTTGGCCCAGCGACCTACTTTTTGTAATAAGAACTTCTTGTATGAAATTACTACTACATACATTGTTACACACAAAGTTTGAACTTTGATATCAGTGACCTGGATTTCAACAAAATGCCTATCAGTATCATCAATCCTCTGTTATTTTGAGCTTTTATACTCAGGTGATAGATATAGGATCATAATGGACCTCTTGTTAACACCTAATGGATTATCTTCATACTTAGACACAACAACCCTTTGGACAAAACTTTCAAGTAGATAAAATTGATCTTGACCTTGACTCAAAAATGGCATGACCTTCAAGGTCAAACGTTTGAATTTTACTTGATATTTGCAATAATTGGCTATATCTTTGTTATTTATGAATATATGTCATCATAGTTAGACACTACAATCTTTTGAATAAGGCCTTAATGTAGAACAAACTGATTATGGGTTCATCAATGGCCTTGACCTTGAAAATCAAATTATTGAATTTTTCTTGAGTTTTGCTATAATAAGCTTTAACTGTTATCTATGAATAAATTGTCTTTATACTTAAGCATATCTACATTAAGGATAATCTCTTTTAATGAGATCAAACTTAATTTGGCCTTGACACATGAATAACTTGACATTGAAGGTTATATTATAGTCATTTCAGGGGTGTTCTTTTTTCCTACTGAAACTTTGTTAGTAATAAATTGATTGTCATCCTTTTTGGGCAAGATTTAAGCCTTTGGATAAGAGATTAAAAAAGATTTAATTGCACTTGACCTTGGCCTTAATTTGACAATGACACCAAAGGTCAAATTAGTGAATTTTGCTACAACTGGCTACATTATTTATTTTTGGATTTGATTTAATTACTTGGACAAAAGATAAGTATAATTTAGTTATTCAGATATGACCATGACCTATAAATGATTTTGACAAGGTCAAATATTGAATTAAGCTTTAACTGCTTGTTATTTACAGATTTGACTTATACTTGAACATAAGAACCCCTTTGACAAAACCTGTATGTTAAATAATTAAAATATGACCTTGTCCTTTATTTGACTGACTTCCAGGGTCATATTATTGGAATTTGCTTAAATTGTCATAAGACTTTTTTTTAAATTTCCTGTCTGATTTATACTTGGACAAACGAACACATTTGGTTTAAATATTCTGATTTGACTTTTACCTTTAATTGACATTAAATTTACTGTCAAGGTCAAATTATTAATATTTGTTTAAATTGTCATGACCTGATGTTATTCATTTATAAATTTTATTTATTCATCAACAAAAGAACACTTATTACAAAACTAACATGGTGATTAATTAAAATGTGACCTTGACCTTTGAATGACCTTGACCATCAAGGTCAAATATGAAATATTTTAGACAAGAAAGTTATATGTTCCACGAGTATTCTTTACTACAATATTCTTCCCCTGATGTGAAGGAAAAGGTTGAGAGTCGGGCCTCCGCTTGATGTCGGCTCCTGCTACTACTAGCTCACCATGTCCATCATTCATTGTCCACAATATCTTAAAACAACTGCTCTTCCTTAACCACAGGAAGGATTTTGACAAAACTTCACATGAATGGTCCTTGAAATGAGATTTAAGTCATAACCTTATAATATGTATATAAATATAGACATTTATATACATATTATAAGGTTATGGCTTAAATCTCATTTTAAGGTCACCATCAAGCAGTATATACCATCCAAACACTTTGTGGCCCCTGTGGTCTGCGATGTTCAAGGGAAAGCCAGTCCAAATTTCCTGCATGGCTAGACAACGCTCGAGAAAAGGTAATATACATGTCTTAAAAGCTTAAACTTGCGCTTCTCATATAGTTCTAATGTCACGAACATGTCACATCAAAGATTCCATGATCTAAATTCAAATTTAACCAGATCATGTTAAAAGCTGAATTTTGTTATAGCTAGTGAATAAGGTATATTTATTACCATGTTATACCATTCATGAAAAGGCACGAACAAACCGAGTCTGCATCATTTTCAATTTGGCCGTAAATTGGTCTTTCTTTAGGGATTCTCTTTTTCTCAATTTCATTTTTTTACCCAGGTCTTAGCACGACTGCCACTTTGGGTCTAATTTTAAAACCCCGATCTAAGTTCTACTTCAGCTGGATTTTTTTTTTCAATTTTGACTCTTGAACTGAAACACTTAAAGGTCAAATTAAGGTAGGCCTACTCAATTAACTTAATAGCCTACATTTTAATAAATTTGCTATAACTATTGCCAAAAGATAAATAACTACTTTTTGTAAATTTCTCATCTATTCAACAGTGTTATTAATAAACTTTTTCTTAAGATACAAAAAAACAAAATATATTTATATATTTTTTTTATCCTTTTCGGTTATAACATTCATTTTGTATTTTCTTTACCGGAAGCACATTGGTATGCAGTTGACATTAGAATTCGCGACCTGTTGTGAAATTTGACGTTGGCATTTATCTTGTAATTAAGAATTGTTTGACAATGGATGCGATTGAAGGACAATTTGATGATGTAGATGATTGTGTCCAAAATGTTGAAAATATGTTGTAAGAGTTTTTAAAGCATATTTCGTAGTAGATCTACGTAATTTGCCTATTTGTTCTTCAACTGTAAATAATGTTGTCAATCTCCTGTAAATTATTCAGAGCTGTCATTGATTCAGTGCAAAGCGTATTGGCGATAGATCGATATCTGATGACAAAGATCGACAATAAACCAGTATATCGATAATTAAACCCAAATTTCTTGTATATAATTCACTTTCCTTACCAGTTTAAATGGTCTCTTGATCCCTCCTGAGTCTAGCCTAATTAATTTGGCGTGAACGTTTAGACACATTTTACAGACTTTTTCTTACTGTGAAACCGTTGGAAAAAGACAGTGCCCGTCCAAAATTATCTTGTTGTCTCTTTGACACGTTTAATTAGTTGGACTATCCCGAGTCATGCATGTCGTGGAGAAGGCACATGGCAGGTCAAAATCAAGTTGTCGCAAGTACCAGAGAGGATTGGTTGACCTGTCGTGACTAACTCAGGAGGGAGGTGCTGACAAGCCGTTTTTGTTTGGTGCTGTCAAAAAACCTGATCAGTGCCATGGCAGTATTGTTGTACCCCCACCAACCAACCAAGAATAGGTTTAGGAATATCAGCATGAAAAAAACGTCCCCGAATAATTCTAGAGTGGACCGACATGGACACTGAGTTCTCGAACATTTGGAATTTCCGGTGCAGAGCTTAAATTAAACTAAAACACACAATTTCACAAACACATTCAAATAATTTTAATAAAATACATGTTCTGTTCATACAAATATAATATTGTATCCTGTATCAGGCTGTCCAGTGTCCCTAAAATTCCTAAAAAATCCTAATTTTTTCAGTTTGGCTAAAATTCCTATAAAAATGAAAAATTCAAAGGGAATTCCTAAAAATGCCCTATTTTTTCACTTAAATTCCTATTTTTTTATCCTTTGTGATAAACATATCCCGAAACAACCATGTTTCAATCACAACCTAAATTCTACAGTCAGTGGAGCTGATGTCATGTCTGACTAAATTGCATAAAGTCACATGTTGTATTAACTTCAACTCCTGCAGAAATGCTATACTTGATTATCAGATGTTATCAGAAAAAAAAAAAAGAACTTGTTTGTTTTAAATGGAACAATGAAAATTGTATGACTTTGACTATATCAAAATAGTCACCTGTTTAAAATTGTGATAAAAATGATTCAAGGAAGTTACATTTTTATTGGCTACAGTGTTTACCATTTACCTCAGTCTTAGGTGTATTTAAAGCAACTATTTACATGATGTACCACTAAATTTCATCAGACTTTATGTAGGGGTCTTTATTAATAAGATCTTAATTTATAATCAAGTTATTTTCAAGTGATGACTGTAGAACATATCTTTTGTAAGTGATACCAGCTGGTGATACCAGCTGGCAGATTTAGACAAATTTCCATATTTGCTAATATTATAAAGTGGGTAAGGTAAACTGGCAGTAATCATGATTGGATGCTTTAACCATTTTGCTGCCCAATTAGCTTATTAAGAAGTGACACCTTCAGCTGCCCTTTCTGTACACATTATCATGTACTGAACATATGTTATAACATTTTGTGTAAGTTTTTTTAAAATCTGGAAAAAACTGTTGAAAATCATTGAAAAAACTGACACTTTTGTGAAATGGTCTACAATTTTTAGTAGCCTGATTTATCATTAACAAATTCAATATACCCTGCTGTTTGAATTTAAGTTTAAATATTCCTGGGAATGACTTTAGTGGGTCATATCATTTTCATTATTTTTTAAGAAAGATCAAGACTTGTTGAAAATGTACCAACCTTAAAAAGAATAAATGCTGATAAGAAATGCATTTATAGCTAAAATAAATCTAAAGCATAATTTCCCCTTTCATTTATAATTGGCTAATCATAGCTTCATTAACTAATTGAATATTGGTTGTTCAGGGATACTTATAACTTTGAAAATGTTTTCATTCTTAAGTTATGTTTTAATGTAGTTTTTCAGCTCTTTTTAAAGGCAGTTGAACAGTGAATCCATTTTAGGAACACTGGTAACACCTTTGCTATAACCTAACTAGAGCATTATTTCTGAGTTACTTTTGTGTCAAATATGCAAAGTTGAGCCCATATCATGGTCTTTTGAAGCCATAATTTAGTTATAAAATTCCAAATTTTAGCCCTAAAATTTCGTTAATTTACCCAAAAATTCCTAATTTTAGCCCTAAAATTGCTTAAAAATTGCCCTAAAATTTGCCCTTATTTTTTGTCAGAAGGTGCTGGACAGCCTGCTGTATATAAATGTCCTTTGCATGATTTTTTTCTGACCATTTTTTGTCATCACTGCCATTCTCTAACAAAAGCTTAGTTTTAGACATTTTAGGCTTTGTATATGTTTCAAGTGAATTTTCATAATTTATGGACAATGAATAATTAATCAAAATTATTGAGTTTTTCAAATGTGTATAATATTTAATATTGATCAACAGAAAAAATATCAACAATACATCAATATCGTCTCAATTGATGACAACTCTAATTATTATGATATTTATTTATCACTATCCATATTTATAACAGTAGGCATAATACACAATAGTTCCAACATTAATCTTTCATAAAAATACTGAATACTGATTGCATTTGATTAAAACTTGATACATGCTTTTTGAATTACAATTCCTGGTCACTTTCTATGACCCATAACATGGCATGTTTTTTTGTTTGAATTTGAAATAAGGCCCTTTTGGAACTTAACAAAATTCTTTGTTTATTATCCAAGACTTATAACTATGTGATGTACATTATTTGTATTTTTGTGATTGAAATCTTCCTCTTTGTTAATTCTTACCTTATCTAGGCTCTTATTTTACTATCAAGCACTGAGAATAGTTGAGCATGCTGTTCTTTCGACTGCTCTTGTTCTAAATGATAGTCAGCATAAAGGCATACATGGCATGCTTTTGCAAGTTGCCATTAGATCATTTCAGTCAATTCAAGTGGAATATTTTTATGCTTTCAGGATTGAAGTTGGTATAAACAATGAAAAGAATGTTGATAAGTGTAAGTTTTTTCCCTCTCATTTTTCATTGAATTAGCCTTACCCCATGTTTTTGACTTTTTATTGATTATTTAGAGAATATTGATCCATTTCTGTCTGTAACTTTTATTAAAACTTTTAGTCTGCTTAAGCCATTGCATGCGAACATTGCAGACCAAGATCAGTCGGCATATACCGGTAGGTGTGTCAATTTTGGAAATTTTAAACATTCAAAACTATCTTAGGCATTACTGTTAATGTGCATATGGTCATATAACCTGTCACATTTAGGAAACAAGTAAAAAATCAGTTCAGTTTTTCTCATTGACCAGGTTGATTTTTTGGGGTAGCAGTTAAGAATATTTTTTTAAATTGAGAAAACGGGCTATTTTGGAGTAGGAATGGGACCTTATATCTGCCCCTGTTGATATGGTGAAAATGCACCAAACTTTAAGGCATTTTAAATTTGAGAGGGCTATGAGTTAAAACATGTTCTGGTGTGTTTTATGTTTCTGCTATACAAGAAAATGTGATACATGTACATTCAAAGACTGTAATATAGCACTATTGTTTTACCATAATTATAGATATTCTCAATCTGTTATCCCGTGCTTGCTTGGATGATTTTTATTATAATGTACACATGCATATGTCTGTTTATTTAGTGATTGATAATACTGGAACAGTTGAAGATTATGATGACTATGATGATGATGATGATGATTATTATCTTGATTGGATGGATGAAAAGGGAGATTTCACAAAAAAGTACCATTCTTCAAACATGGGTAATTCACAGGTACAGGTTAAATTATTATACTGTCCTTTATTATAAACATTTTGTAAATTTATAAGTTTGTTTTCTTTTTTTAAAGAACTATAAGAAGAATTTTAACGTTTAAATTAAAAACAAAACAGTATAAACATATGTAGGGTCTGAATCCCATCTACTTTTCGAGACTCAAAATTTGGTAATATCATTGCACATGCTTGTTCATTTTGAATTAGAATTTTAATTGTAAATGAAAAAAAAAATCATTATCAAAATGTTAAGATTTAGTGCCTACTGCTTAGCTAATAATATTGAGTATGAACAAACGGCACAACTTGCATTTTTAGCTCGACTTTTCTATGAAAAGGGGAGCTATCCTACTCGCCCCGGCGTCGGCGTCGGCGTTAGCGTTGGCGTCACACCTTGGTTAAGTTTTTCGTACCACCCCACTTTATTTCAGAAGTATTACAAGTATGGCTTTGAAACTTACCATACTTGTTCACCATCATAACCTCCATCTACAGACAAGAGTACATAACTCTGTCAAGGTTTTTGACAGAAATTATGGCCCTTTTTTGACTTAGAAAGTGTATTGAGCTTGGTTAAGTTTTTTGTACCACCTCACTTTATTTCAAAACCATTGGAGGTATTGCTTTGAAACTGACCATACTTGTTTACCATCACGACCTTCATCAACAGACAAGAGGACATAACTCTGTCAAGGTTTTTGACAGAATTATGCCCCTTTTTGACTTAGAAAATACATTGAATATGGGTAAAATCCACTTATTGCCTTAACCCTTTGAGATATTGCTTTGAAACTTTTAATTGCTATTTCACATCATTACCCCCATCTGTACGCAAGAGAAGGTAACTCTGTCAAGGATTTGTTTTAAAAAATTAAGGCCTTTTATCGACTTAGAATCTTGGTTAAGTTTTTAGTACCAGTCCACTTTTTAGCTCGACTTTTCTATGAAAAGGGGAGCTATCCTACTCGCCCCGGCGTCGGCGTCGGCGTTGGCGTCGGCGTTGGCGTCACACCTTGGTTAAGTTTTTCGTACCACCCCACTTTATTTCAGAAGTATTACAAGTATGGCTTTGAAACTTACCATACTTGTTCACCATCATAACCTCCATCTACAGACAAGAGTACATAACTCTGTCAAGGTTTTTTGACAGAATTATGGCCCTTTTTTGACTTAGAAAGTGTATTGAGCTTGGTTAAGTTTTTTTGTACCACCTCACTTTATTTCAAAACCATTGGAGGTATTGCTTTGAAACTGACCATACTTGTTTACCATCACGACCTTCATCAACAGACAAGAGGACAATAACTCTGTCAAGGTTTTTGACAGAATTATGCCCCTTTTTGACTTAGAAAAATACATTGAATATGGGTAAAATCCACTTATTGCCTTAACCCTTTGAGATATTGCTTTGAAACTTTTAATGCTATTTCACATCATTACCCCCATCTGTACGCAAGAGAAGGTAACTCTGTCAAGGATTTGTTTTAAAAAATTAAGGCCTTTTATCGACTTAGAATCTTGGTTAAGTTTTAGTACCAGTCCACTTTTTGACTGAACTGTTTGAGATATTAATTTGAAAGTTGGAATACTTGTTTACAATCATGATTCCCAAACATGTCCAGGAGAAGGTAATTCTGTCAAAGATTTTATTTGAATTATGGCCCTTAACTGTCAATGTTTTATATTATAGGCAAGCACTAAAAAACTTAAAAAATCTAAAAAAATTCATTCCTATCCACTTGTTCACTTTACCATAAATTATGTCATATAAACATTGCTGTAATATTCAAGGGTATCAAACAACTAGTTCACTTTAAAAATACAGAGATTCTTGTATTGCCTTTTACTGCAAAAACTTTTTTTATTGGCAAGCAATAAAAAAGTCGAGCGCGCTGTCTTACGGACAGCTCTTGTTTATGCCCCCGCCATGTAATGGCCGGGGCATATAGTGTTACCCTGTTCCGTCATTCCGTCCTTCCGTCATTCTGTCATTCCGTCATCATCAGATTCCGTTCATTATACCCCCGCACAACAAAGTTGTAAGGGGGGAATACTGGAATCAGCTTGTCTGTCCGTTCGGCTGTCCGTCGTTTTTTTCTTGTCCGCCCAATAACTTAAGATTCTTTTGACCCACAGTCTTCATATTTGGCATGGAGGTTAGTCATGATTAGTAGATGACCCCTATTGATTTTGAGGTTTCGGGGTCAAAGGTCAAGGTCACAGGGGCCTTGACTTCAAAATGCTTGTCCGCCCAATAACTTAAGATTCCTTTGACCCACAGTCTTCATATTTGGCATGGAGGTTAGTCATGATTAGTAGATGACCCCTATTGATTTTGAGGTCACTGGGTCTAAGGTCAAGGTCACAGGGGCCTTGACTTCAAAAAGATTGTCCGCCCAATAACTTAAGATTCCTTTGACCCACAGTCTTTATATTTGGCATGGAGGTTAGTCATGATTAGTAGATGACCCCTATTGATTTTGAGGTCACGGGGTCAAAGGTCAAGGTCACAGGGGCCTTGACTTTAAACAGCTTGTCCGCCTAATAACTTAAGATTCCTTTGACCCACAGTCTTCATATTTGGCATGGAGGTTAGTCATGATTAGTAGATGACCCCTATTGATTTTGAGGTCACTGGGTCAAAGGTCAAGGTCACAGGGGCCTTGACTAAAAAAGTTTGTCCACCCATTAACTTAAGATTCCTTTGACCCACGGTCTTCATATTTGGCATGGAGGTTGATCATGACCATAAGGTGACCCCAATTGATTTTGAGGTTACTGGGTCAAAGGTCACAGGGACCTTGACAAAAAAATAAGTTTTTCCCCTCAATTGCTTAAGAATGCCTGTCCGCAGTGTATTGATTTTGACATTTTCACATTTGAAGCATGTAGAATACATAACTTAGCAATGCACTGGCTTAGTAACCTCAGATTTGGCAGGGAAGTTGTCCTTGAGCTCTAAATGGCCACTGTTGATTCTGACAAAGTGGTATGCGGGGGTATTCACGCCATGACAGTGGCAGTTCTAGTTATCTTAGTAACGGTTGCACACATTCAACTCAAATTTGACATATGGATATGTCATGAGTAAATACAGGTCAAGTTCGAATTTGGTCATGGTTTGATGATTTTTGGCAGAGTTATGCCCCTTTTACTTTAAAATAATATGAAATTTTCAGTTTCCGTTCATTATCAATTTATCTCCCCAATGGTACAACACATTCAACTCAAACTTGACATATGGATATGTCATGAGAAAATACAGGTCAAGTTCGAATTTGGTCATGGTTCGATGATTTTTGGCAGAGTTATGCCCCTTTTACTTTGAAAATAATATGAAATTTTCAGTTTCCGTTCATTATCTCCCCAACGGTACAACACATTCAACTCAAATTTGACATATGGATATGTCGGGAGAAAATACAGGTCAAGTTCGAATTTGGTCATGGTTCAATGATTTTTGGCAGAGTTATGCCCCTTTCACTTTGAAAATAATATGAAATTTTCAGTTTCTGATCATTATCTCCCCAATGGTACAACACATTCAACTCAAACTTGACATATGGATACGTCACAGGAATGCGCAGGTCAAGTTCAAGGTTGGTCATGGTTCAATGATTTTTTGCAGAGTTATGTCCCTTTCACTTTGAAAATAATATAGATACATCTTAGGAATAAGCAGTTTAAGTTTGAATTTGGTCGTGGTTCAATGATTTTGGACAAACTTATCTTTCTTGAATGTTGGAAAAATTTTGAACTTTCAGTTTCAGCACTGAAATGTATGTAGCCATTATTTTGGCTACAAATATGAAATATGCTATTTTCAAAAGGTTTAGACTGAATAATTTCAGTGCCTTGAACATTGTATGAAAATGGTTTGTGTTAACATTGGAAAGTTTTAAGGGCTTTGAACTTAAAATGAAAAAAATAATTTGTGCAAACAAATTTGGAACTAAATATTATAACATCTGAAATTTTGGCTGCATGCAGGGGCATCCGTGGCATGATGACACATTTCTAGATATTCTTATTTTGTTGGAATGGGTAAGAGTTAAGTGGTCAGTCAGATAAAAACACTGCAAGTTTAATAACAGCATTTTAAACTAATTTATTCTAGGCTTTCACTATTTAGTTATAATTAAATTTTGAAAAATTGGTCATAACTGTTAACTGCATTCTTCATTTTTAGCTAAATTTAAAAAAAAAACAACAAAAAAAACAAAACAACATAAAGCAGAGGTATTATGATCCACTTGTCAGCCCTTTATTTTCTTAATTCTTAAAAAAAAAAAGAGAATTTCTTCTTCATTTTCACTATCATTAAATGGTTTAAGTCAGCTTTTATTACTTTCTTCTATTCTACTTTCAGACAGGAGTTTCTCATGCAAATCAACAGAACAAAAACAAGGGGCAGTTTCAGCCAAATGATAAAGTTCTAAGAAAATATATTGATAAAATAAATGTTGGTAAGAATGATTTTGTTTCTGTAATTTTGCTTTTTAAGATATACTTGTATATTTACTTTATGTGTGACATATATGCACAAATTGAACAGAAAGAAAATCCATATTGAAGAAGAAATTAATGCAAGAGCAAAATCGGCATAAAAAACAGATTTATAAAGAAAGACACTGTTGTGTTATTGATTGTTTATCAGAAGAAAAAAGTTATAATTCTTTAAAAGAAAACGAGCATGATAGCTCAATTAACAAGTTTTTACATGCAAGTAGTCATAAGTTACTTGCCATTGATTTACCCCTTACCTTGCTGGAAACTACAGTGATAGGTTTTTATCACCTGTATAGAATCAGGCCAGCTGCCACAAAGAACTTACAAGCAGTCGGACCAGGCTATGAACTGTTAACTTTGCTTTGTTGACTAACTAATTAAACATTTTCTTCTTAATTCCTAAATTGAAAATACATGTACTTAACTGATACATGTAGGTAAGGCAAGCATGTTAAAAAAATTCAGCTGGTAAAAAGTTAAGAACAAACTACAGTTTTGTATATCATTATCAATTTTCAGCTCACCTGTCACAAAGTGACAGGGTGAGCTTTTGTGATCGCTTTTCGTCCGGCGTCCGTCCGTCCGTAAACTTTTACTTTAAATGACATCTCCTCATAAACCACTGAGCCAATTTCATCCAAACTTCACAGGAATGTTCCTTTGGTGGTCACCTTTAAAATTTGTTCAAAGAATTGGCAACCGAAAGAAAAAACTTTAAATATCTTCTTTTAAAAAACCATAAGAGCTAGAGCTTAGATATTTGGCATGATACATCTTCTAGTAAGTGTCTACCAAGTTTGTTCAAATAAAAGCCCTGGGGTCAAAATTGACACTGCCCCGGGGGGTCATTGATTTTCCCTATATGCATATAGTAAAAACTTAAAAAAAATTCTTTTAAAGAACCCAAAGAGCTAAAGCTAAGATATTTAGCATGAAACATGTTCTAATGGGTGTCTACCAAGTTTGTTCAAATAAAAGCCCTGGGGTCAAAATTGGCCCCGCCCCAGGGGGTCATTGATTTTCCCTATATGCATATAGTTAAAACTTAAAAAATCTTCTTTTAAAGAACTAAAAGAGCTATGGCTAAGATATTGAGCATCAAACATGTTCTAATAGGTGTCTACCAAGTTTGTTCAAATAAAAGCCCTGGGGTCAAAATTGGCCCTGCCCCGGGGGGTCATTGATTTTCCCTATATGCATATAGTAAAAACTTAAAAAAATTTCTTTTAAAGAACCCAAAGAGCTAGAGCTAAGATATTTAGCATGAAACATGTTCTAATGGGTGTCTACCAAGTTTGTTCAAATAGAAGCCCTGGGGTCAAAATTGGCTCCGCCCCAGGGGGTCATTGATTTTCCCTATATGCATATAGTAAAAACTTAAAATCTTCTTTTAAAGAACCCAAAGAGCTAGAGCTAAGATATTTAGCATGAAACATGTTCTAATGGGTGTCTACCAAGTTTGTTCAAATAAAAAGCCTGGGGTCAAAATTGGCCCCGCCCGGGGGGTCATTGATTTTCCCTATATGCATATAGTAAAAACTTAAAAAAATTTCTTTTAAAGAACCCAAAGAGCTAGAGCTAAGATATTTAGCATGAAACATGTTCTAATGGGTGTCTACCAAGTTTGTTCAAATAAAAGCCCTGGGGTCAAAATTGGCCCCGCCCGGGGGGTCATTGATTTTCCCTATATGCATATAGTTAAAACTTAAAAAATCTTCTTTTAAAGAACTCAAAGAGCTATGGCTAAGATATTGAGCATCAAACATGTTCTAATAGGTGTCTACCAAGTTTGTTCAAATAAAAGCCCTGGGGTCAAAATTGGCACCGCCCCGGGGGTCATTGATTTTCCCTATATGCATATAGTAAAAACTTAAAAATCTTCTTTTAAAGAACTCATAGAGCTATGGCTAAGATATTTAGCATCAAACATGTTCTAATAGGTGTCTACCAAGTTTGTTCAAATAAAAGCCCTGGGGTCAAAATTGGCCCTGCCCCGGGGGTCATTGATTTTCCTTATATGTGTATAGCAAAAACTTAAAAAATCTTCTTTGAAAAAACCCAAATAGCTAGAGTTAAGATATTAAGCATGAAACATCTTTTAGAAAGTGTCTACAAAGTTTGTTCAAATAGAAGACCTGGGGTCAAAATTGGCCCTGCCCCGGGGGTCATTGATTTTCTTTATATGTGTATAGCAAAAACTTAAAAAATCTTCTTTGAAAAAACCCAAATAGCTAGAGTTAAGATATTAAGCATGAAACATCTTTTAGAAAGTGTCTACAAAGTTTGTTCAAATAGAAGACCTGGGGTCAAAATTGGCCCTGCCCCGGGGGTCATTGATTTTCTTTATATGTGTATAGCAAAAACTTAAAATCTTCTTTGACAAAACCCAAATAGCTAGAGTTTAGATATTAAGCATGAAACATCTTCTAGTAAGTGTCTACAAAGTGTGTTCAAATAAAATCCCTGGGTTCAAAACTGGCCCCGCCCCAGGGGTGTCATTGTTTTTAACAATATGTGTATAGTAAAAACTTTAAAAAAAATCTTCTTTTAAAAAGCCCAATGAGCTAGAGCTGAGATGTTTAGCATAAAACATTTTCAGCCCTGGGTTAAATTGGCCCTGCAACGTTGGGGTGGGGGTTGGGGGGCCTATATACAGGTGAGCGACCTCAGGGCCATGATGGCCCTCTTGTTAATATTTTTATAGGTTTTGACACGTTATGTGATGATACTTGCCATCTTGTCTGTTTTCCTGTCCTGTCTTGTTAGTAATTCTAAATCCAGCATATATCAACTACTCATTTATAGTGTCTTGATAACAACTAAAAGTTGGAAGTACAGGATTCAAGGAAAGACAAGTGTCAATTGCACACATTCAGCAAAGAAATGTAAATTTTTATTATTAAATGTGATTTTTTCCCCCATGATTTCAGAGAAGTACACTGGTGGACGCCTTACAAGTTCTGCATCATCAGCACTTACATCCAAGGGAAAACGTTTAGATGATACAAGGTATATGTCTAGCTGACTCCTTTATATTAATTTCTACATAGATTACATTTGAGTGATTACATTTACATAAATTACATTATTACTGTCTGCAAGGTTTGGTAAGAATTTTTGACATTGCTGAGGTAAATCAGGAACAGCGTTGACAAAGTAAAAGACTTGGACATTGTCTTTACTGCTGTATGATACAGCTTGCGTTTCGATATGAAGTAATATTATAAAATCATAAAGTTAACAAAGGTAATTTATTGAAATTTGTTAGACCACATTGCTGGATGAGTTATATAATAAATAATTTTACAAAAAGTGAACAAAATCTGGCAGCTCTTGTTTATATTCATTGTGCTAACAGTATAAGTATGTTTTAAAGGTATCGTGGGAAAGATAAATCTGATAGGGCTACTGCAGAGCAGGTTATGGACCCTCGTACCAGAATGATCTTGTTTAAGATGCTGAGTCGTGGTGTTATAACAGAGGTCAATGGGTGCATCAGTACGGGGAAGGAGGCCAATGTCTACCATGCCACATCGAAAGATGGCTCTGACAGGGCAGTTAAGGTGAATAATATAACGCAGTATACCTTGTTACAAAAGGCAATTAAATATAAAGTAGAAATAAATTGGATATTATGTATATCGCTGACACATCCTACACCCCTTTGAAGATTTTCTCCAAACTTTGGTTAATTAAAGGGAGACACAGGCAAAATTTTCATTTCTTAGTTTTGAAATTTTCATTCATTATTCTGTAAATGTCCTCAAAATGAATACACTAAACAGTCAAAGGAACAAAACTTTTCTCCATATAAAGAATAAAATGGTGTTTTCCTAACTTGACCCGCGTGGGTCAGGTTATAGCGCTAAAATTTCACAATAGTTGTCACTATGTACTCTGGAAATTTCAATCATACAATATCCACAATATTTGTTATTGTAACTTCCAGGGTTTGTTCAAATCGCATGACTTGTTTTTAAACTATTCGGTGATTCTGTTCGCGTCAAAATTTCGTTCAACATATATAGATATATTTAAACTTCAAACCCAAAATATATAGAATTTATACAGAAATTCATGTTGGGACTTTAAGAAATGTCATTTTAGGGTGATTTGAGTACAGAAAATCATTTTTAATTTTTTGCCATTATTTTACCTGAGTATGCCTTTAAATGTTCACATCAACAAGGTGGAGTGCAGAACCCATGTCGCCGCTGTGCTGCCTAAAGAACTGACTTGAACTTCAAATGGTCCTGATGTAGATCATTGTTATAATTGAAACTAGTAAACTTAAAATGATAAATCATCTTAACCCATAAGGTTATGATTTGTGGTTTCTCTAAGACCTTCCCTGTATTTAGTTTGAACTTCGAATGCCAGACAATTTTGTGTTTGCGCTATAAAACCTTTACCCATTGAAGGATTTTCCTTTTACTTGGGACAAATTTACCTCGACAAGGTCATGTTGCTGCTATGCTGGGTCAAGGTCAAAGGACTCTTGAAGGTCAAAATATCAGACAGTTGCACCGTGAATTCTATACTAAATGAAAGACGTTCTTCAAACTTTGCCTCAAATGTTCACTTTCAAAAATATTGATATATGGACCTACATGCAATCTTGTGTTCTTAAAATGGTGGGCTTTTTTGTGACAGGTCTTTTTCATTTGACACAATGTCAACAAATATGAGTGTAATACAAGCAAATAGGTTGAAAATTAATTTGAAATGATTTGATCTTGCAAGAATTTTCTTTTTAATTGGTTAATTTATTTGTAGGAAACATATAGAGTATAAAATTAAGATACACATATTGTATATTCAAGAATGTTACTGGTTATGAATTTCAATTGCTTGGAAAGGGAAGCGGTGGCCTAGTGGGTAAGGTGTCTGCCTCTCAACCCAGAGATCATGGGTTGGAGCCCTACTTGGGTCACGACCATGTTTCTTCATATGACACCAGTACTGGTTGGTTCCAGGAAGCGGACTGGAAAGTGATTAATATAAGTTGCAAGAACTTGTTTCGCAATCGAGCTTAAATTAATATGTTTAAACCAATTGCTTGGCAAATATTTTTCTTTTGAAGTGGACATTAACTTCACATTTCTTGTAAATATTATTTATGTGTTGATTTTTCCATATTTTTTTTAAACAGGTGTATAAAACATCCATATTGATTTTCAAAGATCGAGATAAATATGTCAGTGGTGAATTCAGATTTCGTCATGGTTACTGCAAACACAATCCACGAAAAATGGTGAAAACGTGGGCAGAAAAAGAAATGCGCAATCTGATAAGGTAGATACTGAACCAATTATTACATCTGGACTAAGTTGATCCTTTTTGTCGGGCTAGATGTATTTGAAATAAATTTACGGACAACAGAGAGAAACATTTTAAATTGCGTTAAGTTTACTATGTTTTTGAACACTTTCTTAATAATAAATAAAGACCCTCTAGTTACACACCTGTTTATCAGAAAAATAATTGAAATCAAGTTGATGAATATCGCCTCTCTGTGGCATAATCATATGTACAATCAAAATAAATTAAAGCCCCAAACTTTTTTTTACAAACATTCGATTTAACTGCTTCATGGGTGGTAATTGTCATTACGTAATGTTAATGTAAATACCACTGAATTACCACTTGTCAAATATGCCACTTTCTGATGACACAGCACATTTTAGTTACCTTATTGAAGATTATGAAAAATTTTGCATTTGTATGCCCCTTATCTAGGGAGGGGCATTTAGATTTGCCCTTGTCCATCCTTGGGTGTGTTCTCATGTTATATCCTGCAGTACAAAACGGTGGAATTTGAGGGCATCATTGTCCTATGGACACATTTCCAGTTTGCCATAGGTTATTTTATTTGAGAAAATTTAGATAGGAAAGTTTAAAAATAGTGTATGGAGAACTTTTGCTGAAGGGAAGTCACTTTAATAAAGATAATGATAATATTTTTCAGAATACATCAAGCTGGAATTTTATGCCCTGAACCTATAATACTTCGCAGTCATGTCCTGGTCATGGGTTTTATTGGGACAGATAGTTGGTAAGATACTAGTTAAATGGTTATTTTCCTATGCTGATGTAAGGCATATGTTGATATTGCCACTGTATATCATCATAAGTATATGTTGAATTTGAAACAGGTCTTGCTATTTTAAGGCTCTTAAAATACCATAAATGATAGTAAAACATGAAATATTTAAGCCCTTAATTGGTGGAAAACGAAAGTTATTAGTCTTACCACCAGTATAGATATATGCCAGCCTGCACATCAGTGCGGCTTTATATACTGTTGGTAGCTCAATTGAAGACCTCCTTGGGTCACAACCAGGTTTCTTTACATGTCAGCAGGGCTGGTTAAAGTTCCAGAAAGCAAACGCCAGAGAGGTTCAGATATTTAAGCTTTCATCATATTAAAACATGCTTAAAAGGATATGTTAAAATGAATTCTGTTTGAACTATGAATTTTCAGTTGTGACATCTTGTTCTATTGGGTTATGGATTAATTATGTATTCTTTAGCTGTACTAGATTTTCTTATGATAAAGTACCATTTATTTGCAGGCCTGCTCCTCTTCTTAAAGACAGTGACATCAGCGAGTCCAAGGCTAGAGAATTATACATGCAGTGTATACAAATACTACGCACACTGTACCATGAGTGTAAACTTATCCATGCTGATTTTAGTGAATTTAATTTATTGTAAGTATAGTTCATTAACTTCATCTGTGATAAGGTCATACCTAAGACCATCAATCTCTTATTATTTCATACCTGATTCATGATTGTCGTACTGATCTCCAATTAGTTCTTACCAAAGTTATATTATTCCCTTAAATTCATATCTAAGACCATCATATTGGTCCCTTATTAGGTTATACCTAAGACCATTATACATGTATTTATCCAAGATTAGGTTTTACCTAAGACCATAATATTTATTCCTGATAGGGTCATACGTAAGATCATAAGATTGATCCATTTAGTAATACCTAAGACCATCTTTAAAACATATATAAAGAGAATGGTCAGATTAGTGTCCTGCCAATGTAACCGATTGAAGTATCAACTAAGCATGTCTACAGTATGATGTTTTATGAAGTAGTGCTGTAAATAACATTTTATGAAGTAGTGCTGTAAATTACACTGCTCTAAGTTGACATTATTTCCCGTACAAATGATAGATAAGGGAGACACTCAAATTAAACTGTACTCCTAAAATCATATAGCGGAACTAGGGCTGTAAGGTCAAGAGAAACAATGAAGAGTAACCATATTATTAAACAAGTTGATTATACTTAAATCCTAAAGTAAAATTTTATTGAATAAGACTTAAGTAGACAATTTCAGAACTATTTCTTAATTCAGGATTTTTAAAATCCCTAAAGCCATCTTTTTCTACATAAAGCTATTAACAGAAACCGCTAAATAAAGGATTGTTAAGTTTTGTTTACAGTTTCTTATAATAAAAATAGAATTGTTTTGATCAAATGTGAGACTACGAGCAAGTAAACAAGTAAAGTTTATTGATATTTACTGAGAAGTGCTAATAGATGTTGGCAACAAGGTAAGAACTGATAATTGTTGGGAGAGTATTGCCAAAGAAAAATTGGAGAGAATTGTGAAAGCAAAACTAGAGAGTTGTCAAAACAGAACTGTGGAGAATTGCAAAAGCAATTCTTGAAAGTATTGTCAAAGCAATACTAGAGAGTATTGTCAAAGCAATACTAGAGAGTTGTCAAAGCAATACTGGGGAGTATTGCCAAAGCAATACTGGAGAGTAAATGTCAAAGCAATACTGTAGAGAATTGTCAAAGCAATACAGGAAAGGATTGTCATAGCAATACTGGAGAGTTGTCTAAGCAATACTAGAGATAATTGTCAAACTTCGGACATGAAAATATTTAATAATTATTTGAGAAGTTTTGTCAGAGAATTATCATTTGTGATATATGGAAGGGAATATCCTCCAGTTGGTCTCATGTGTTGTTTGATATTTCTAATTCTATTATGATAGTTTGTATGCAAGCATGCTTATAACTATGACAATTATTTTCTTAAATTAAGAGTATGATGGCATTTAAATTTGAACAACATCTGATTATTTTTATATGAAAATGTTTGTCATGATCTTTGTTTTATTTTATGACTTGTGAATGAGCAATTTATTTTCCAATTGAAATTGTCCTCGTTCAAACTTGTGTTATTGCTGTTACCAAATTAAACTAAAAAAGGCATTAAATCATAATTCTCAATGTAAAGCAAACATTATTATTATATCGTCTTCATTATAATAATGTGAAGCTGAGAACCAATTTTTATACACATGCCATTCTTAAGACCAAGGTCTCTCATTGTTGTTGTTTATGATGACTTTTCTCGCCTGACTGGCATCAGTGCCTATGTAAGTATTACCCTGCTTACGTCAAACGTTTTGGTTCATACTCAGATTCCCATCATCACCGGAAAGACTATTTAGATGAATTAAATTAAAAATGCATTTATACCCGAGTTTGTTAACACTCTAGAGGGCAAACCATTTTTGAAGGTACATTTATATACCTGAGATTGACTTAGTTAACAGTTCTCTTGCATATATCCACAATATTGATAGATATATATGTATAAAAACGGCTTGCACTCTTACTTACATCAGATATCATATACAAGTAGATATGAATGCACATTCTCAATTTAAATATGTATATGCACATACAAAAACGAACTGCACTTTGAAATTGATATGAATTTTATATCAATCTCATATCTACATGTATTGTAAATAAAACTAGTTAAACCCGTACTTTCCCTTATTTTCGTGTAAATGAATGTAAGAACAAAATGTTTGTACTAATAACTCAGTCAGATTCTTGTTTATGTATAAGCAAATGTTCAAAAGGTTTTGAACACTTATTTTCTGTTATTGTAGGTTTATATAATACATGTATATATACAAAAACATTGTTGATTTTTCAATTTTTGGCATATATGTGTAAGCACAATAGTGGTTTGTAAGTAGTTGTTAATTTTATCAATTTTGGATGTGCAATGATCGTTCAATGATCTACACTCTCTTTCACTGTCTGGTATACATGTATTTTAAAATACAGACATTTTTCATATGGAAATTTTCAGTAACTGCAAAAGCTGTTTAACAGTAACATTGAGTTATGTAACAAAAAAAAGTAATAAATAATGTACTAGCTTTTACCCTTACATAACTGATGTTGATATGATGTGCTAATCAAGGTTCATTACATTGATTTTAAAGAGCTAATTTTGATAATTGATAAGATACTCAAAAATAAGTTATGTTTTAATACAAAAAAAAAAATACAAAAAAATTGATGGACATCAAGAGTTTACATGTTAACAAAAGAAAAATGTATATAATAATATATTAACATATTCATATAAAACTGATAATACAAATCAAGATAAAATATGTTGTTCCAATAAAAATGTTGTCATATTATTCTTAATTCATATAAGTAAAGAATCATACTAATACGTATGTTTGCATACAAACTACATGTATTGCAATAGGATAAGAAATAGCATATTAGAATATCAAACAACACAAAAGACAAACTGGCAGATATTCCCTCTGGTACTAGTCCTAAGATATGGTTTCACATTACCAAAATCTGAAATAGAATTTTAGAATTTTAGAATATTACACTTATTCCACATTAATTCTTAATTCATTATGCCCCAGAAATGCTTTAAATTTTATTTCTCTAAAGATTTCATTGTTTGGTGTTTGTTTCAGGTATCATGAAGGAAATTTGTATGTTATAGATGTATCACAGTCAGTTGAACATGATCATCCACATGCCTTGGAATTCTTACGTAAAGATTGTACTAATGTTACAGGTAAGAAATTTTTATGCCCCCACTATCAAAGGGGTGGATAGAGGGCATATAGATTTTGCTCGTGTCCTGGGTGCTGTCCGTCCATAGACTAACAAAAAACAGTGGAATATGTTGGCACCCATGTCCTATTGACCCTTATATTGTTAGTTACTAAGTGGAAATACCCAGGATTCAGGGCCCAGTTTCAAAGTTTCAAAAATGTCATAAACACCAAAAATGGCAGTAAATACCATTGAATGCCACTGACATGATAAATAAGCATACATGGCAACAATTTACCAATCCCGATTCAGGCATAATTTCAACATGTACTGGCCCAGTATTTGGATATCAGCTTGTTAGGTGCTAATCAGAAATTGACTGAGATATTGTGAATTATTGATTTTATTAAACAGCAGAAAATGAAGTAAGCATGATCATAAAAATGGTTAACATAAAAGTATATTAGGTTTTTCTTGAAAATAAATGCTTTTGTTCCACAATGATGATAAAAGAGATCCAACTCTGAAATTATATGAAGTTAAATTTATCAAAACTGAGTGGAACAAGTACAAAAATTGGTGAACAAAAGGAAAAAAAAGTAAAGTCAATTGACCTTTATCAACTACGGGTTTGAATCCAAGGGTCATCAATTCATTTCATGTGAACCATCTGAGCCAGGGTTGTCAATAAAAAAATTGTGGCATGGTTTGTTTCATATTTGACGTCATTTTTAGATTTTGGACAACAAAGAGTTTTTTTTTTAATGTTTAGAAACAGCCCACATTGTATTTGAGACCATTATTTTAGCCTCCAATCGTCTCATTAAATGACAATTCTTAGCTCATGGTCAGTTGTCGGTTTTACTCCATTTATACTTTTTGAGACATTGGTGTTTTTAAATATTTCACATCAAGCTATGTTGGGGATATGATTAGGTTTAATGATACTTATAATATATTGTTATTTATATTACTTGACTTTTCTATTTCAGAATACTTTAAGAAGAAGGGTGTGAGCACATTAACAGTAAAAGAATTATTTGATTTTGTGACCGATATTTCAATAACAGATGATAACTTAGATGACTACTTGGACAAATGTATGATGATAACGTCTAATAGAACCATAGATGATGTCACTGAACAAGACAAAATTGACGAACAGGTTATTTATTTATACATTGTTTTGTATTGTTATTTATAAATTATTATATAAATATGGGGAGCGGTGGCCTAGTGGTTAAGGTGACTGTCTCTCAACCCAGGGATCATGGGTTCAACCCCTAATCAGCTCAGGACCATATTTCTTCATATGACACCAGTTCTGAGTTGGTTCCAGGAAGCGGACTCGAAAGTAATTTATACAAGTTCCAAGAAATTGTTTCGCGATCAAGCTTTAATGAATAAGTTTAAGGCAAACCACAAGAATTCATTTGATTTTTTTTGCTCCATCTTTATTGGTAAAGAAATTTGACCCAATTCTCTTAATAATGTATGCCCACTTGGCACAATAAGGTGAGCATGCCATAAGTAATCCAGATATTGCTGGTCCTATGGCTAACACTTGACTATGTTCAACTATATTGATTGTTATTTCAGGTATTTAAGAATGCATACATCCCTAGAACACTGGATGCTGTTATAGATTTTGAGAGGGATTTTTACAAGGCAAAGAAAGGGGACACTAATGAGGTAAAAGTTTCAATATCATGTTTACCTTTACCTACCTGAATTTCATTAGTGTGCTATTTTTTATTGTTGATCTTTATTGAATTATGTTTTGTTGAAGAAAAAATAAGTTTTCTATGAGTATTCTCACTACAATATTCTTGCTCCGATGTGTTTGATTTTAGGGAAGTGTGAGCCCAGTTTGAGGGCTATGAAAAGAACTTAAATTTATTCTGGCCTTGAAAAGACTTTACAAGTCCTAATGTGCTTTGTTTTGGACCTTTAAATGTAATTTGACAAAATGTAACAAAATTGTCCGCAGTCAGAATATTATATTTTGTTAGGTAGATTTGTTAATGTGTCTATAGCATCAGTACTGTAGATGATAACATATTAACCTGTATGTAAATGTTAACAAATCGTACATATTTTTTTAGTTATATCTTACAATTTCAGTTTCTGTACAGTAAGATATCGGGATTAAAAACAGATTTGTCAGGACCCCAACATGTGAGTAAAACTATTGTACTTTAATTTATTAAACATTTCAAAATCAGTCCAGGACTTTTTTTCAGACAAAAGTTGAATAATCAAATTTGACTAACAATTAATGTGATTGCAATCTTTTGTTTATGCAATCTTCTGTTTATCTCCATGGACTTGTTTGTGTCTATAATTATTTAAGAATGGTCATTCTTTCCAAAGTTCAACTAAAAGTTGCCATCTATAAAAAACCAATAAAGTCACTAAAAATGAATAAACAACTGAATGAAATTAACAGTTTATCAGAATAAAAGCTTCTGTATCACATGACATGTTTCTTTTTGAGACACTGTCCAGTAATTGGGCCATATAACCTGTCAAAAATCTTTAAAAAACCAAATGATAATAATTTTATGCCTACAGGTGCCAACTTTACTTGAAGACTCAAAACAAGAGCAGAATAACGATATTGAACTAACATCTGGTGTGTGTGAACACACAGTAGAGGAAATAAATGACAATGAAGGGAGTGATTGTGGGAATGAAAGTGATGATTCTGATTCAACTGATGATGAGGAAGATGATGAGGAAAACTGTAAAGGCACCATAACACGACCCAGAGACGAATCTCCAAATTCAAAGAAGGTAACAGTTTGTTGTGGTGATTTCCTTTTAGCATTAAGTTAATGGAAATGAGAAATGGGTGGAAAAGAAAACCATTTATGCATTCAAGCTTTGGTCAGTGACAGCAACTTTGTCAATAGTTAGTTGTTTTTCTTTTTTTTGTGATGGATGGATGGATATATTGCAAGACTTGCTAACTTCTATAAAAGCTATATTTTTATGAGGGTTTTATTTATTAGCATGATTCACAGAATTCTTACCAACTTCACACATATTTCTTCATAACGACAGAACATGTCCGAGATAACGGTTATGTTGACCCTCAAGTGAAGAGATCCTGAAATATCTCTGAAGATGATCCTTCGCCTTAAAAAGGAGTTAACTGTAACTCTTAGCCTGTTGGAGGCAATTTATTTGACCCATGCAAACAGTGCAAACCAAGATCAGCTGACATTTCCATACCGTCTGATCAGGGTCTGCACTGTTCAGTTCATATTTTGATTTTTTTCTCTAAACAAGATGAATGGTCTTGTCCAAATAAAAAACTGGACAAGTCCATTTAAGCTATTAAAATTAGTATGGTAAATGTAAAATATTGGTATATTTCAGGAAAGGAAACGCATGGTGAAAGAGGCACAAAAAGAAAAAAGACAAAATAAGATGCCAAAGCATGTAAAGAAAAGGAAAGAGAAGCTTGCAAAGCAAGGAAAGAAAAAATGATAAAAATTGTTTGCATCTTTCCAGTGATATTATTGTATAATAACATGTAAAAAGTTGTTTAAATAAATGGATTAAACTATAGATACAATTTTTTATTTTTGAAGATGATGCTCTTGACCAAGATAAAGTTATTTTATCATCAGGTCTCCCTAGGATACCTAGTACATACACTCTTTTTAGCTGTACCTTTTGGGAGGCATTGTCGTGACCTAATCATTTACAGTGATTTATATGTTTGGTTTTTATTCGCCCAAAGATTATTCACATTTTGGAGGTGTAATTATTTTTGGGCATTTTGGATATGCCACTATGCCTTGAAAGATAATGTGCATGTATCATTCATATTACTGTGTAAATGACTAATGTTCACTGTCGGGAGTATTTAAATTTTACTTTGTTTTATATCCTTATATGGCAATTGAAATTCCAATAGTTGATTTTTAGCTCGACAGTTCGAAAAATAGAGCTACTCTTCTCACTTAGGCAATGGTGTCGGCGTCAAACTTTGGTTAAGTTTTTGTGTGCAAGTTGGTTTCTGCTAAACTACTGAAGAGAATGGGTTTAAACTTCATGCACTTATTTGAGAGCAAAAGGTCTCTGTTCAAGGCCCATAACTGTAGCTTGGAATTTGACAGTATTATGATCCTGCTATTCTTTTATGCCCTTCACATAAGTTGTATAAACTAAGGACCTGAACTTAATAAAGGCATTTAGATTTTGTTAACGGTGTTTGCTCCTTAGTAATAGGTATATTCAATTACAAAGAAGGTAGGCTGCACAGATGAACAGACTGGTAAACTACAGACTGGGTTAGATGTATACCAGTATAATTATAGACCTATCTTTGTTGTCTGTGGTATTCAAGTGGCTAAGAGAAGGACTTGAGTCAGTAGGAAGAATACAATGCTTGTAAGATATTTTTATTACAACGTAAAACAATCTTTGTAATAACTACACGTACACAAATTATGTTTATAATAATTTAAATAAAATTCTGTATGTATTCATATTTGTAAAAAAAACTCGCTATGAATTCTGACTATCTCTAGAGTTCCTAAATCAAACATTTTTTCTATATAAACAGTCGATTTTTAACATAAATTCGTTAAAAGTGAGTGTATGAACCGTATTTTTAGACAGGCACAATGAGACTTTTCTAACAGCATAAGTTGGAAACATTATGCTTAGAAAATCAGAATTAATTGTTCGAAGGAAACTAAACAAATAAAAGAAGAGTTTACCAAAAGTACTTGATCTTCGTGTTTTAAGGCCTCTGTAAACTCGCTACTAAATCACTGTCCATTATGAAGACGCGTACACTAATTGCCAATAAAACGAAAAAGGACGTTTTGGTGAAATTCTTCATACAAAAGGTTGCCGATTTTGATCACTTATTTTTAAAAGTACATCGCACACCTGGATCACATTGGTGCTTCGCAACAAATCGGTAGTGCGTGCTATTGTGCAAAAGAGTTGGGAAAATCAAGATAGGTCGTATTATTTTATGTAATTTATATAATTTATGTAAACCTTTTTTTAATATAATGAAAATATAGTTTGGCATTGCAAATATTAATGTGTGTGTATTTTTTTTCTATTCATTAGAATGTATTTGAGAGTATCAAGTGCAAAACTCTTCGACTTGCGTCAACAGCTTGGTACATTTGTTAAATTTTTAATCAAAATTATTTTTCCTATCGAACTTTATAACATAATCATTACATTTGTTATGATAACTACTACCTTGGGATAAAGAATAAATACAGGGACATTTATTCATTCTTTTCCCCTTGTGCTGCAAGGGTGCGCATGGTTCTACAGGTGTATATGCCCTATCATATTAACGTTACACTGAAAATGACTTTGATATTTAAAACACATTTTTTTCTTCAAAACTCTCTCCTGCACACTCTTTGCAGCGAAACTGGTTGAATAATTTTGCACTTTACTCTTTCAAAATATATTCTAATGAGTTTAGAAAAAATACACACGTTATGATAGTAGCAAGTAACTACCGTTTTCTTTTTTTTAAAAATATATTTTATAAAATGATCTCGGTGTTAAGAAAAGAGAACAGTAATACATATATTTTATCACTCACAATATAGAACTTTACATTTATTCACAGAATACATGTGGGAAATGTGTCAATTAATATACATACATATATAGAAACACTTTGTCATTGTGAATATACTACACAATGCATTTGTAAATCCCTAACATGTAATGGAAACCGAAGGAACAAAAAATAACATTGGTACAACATGGTATAAAAAGCACAAACATATACCAGTTTCCGTATATCCATTAAATGTAAAATATGAGTTTTAATTAAAGTATTTGATAATTTTCTTATATCATTTTCACACTATAGTAAATTTCGGCATATTTGTTTCTTCCCCAGTTGACATTCCGATAATACATGAAATTCATCATCTTATTTAGCTAAAATATAACATTTTTTCATTACGATTTATGCCATCTACAATTTCTACCTTAATATATATGCGAAGTTATTTTAA